GTTCAGTTTTTCTTTTCCAATGTGAGATATCGTGTTCACGATGCCAGTTATTGAATTATCATCGGTGTCATTTTCACAAGTGAAATTTGCAAAGTCCAAATGTTTAACATACAATTTGTCAAGTGGCTGTCGACTAGATTACCGGTCGCTGCATGCCCCGTTGGCCATTTGAGTTACGTCAACCCACAAGCTGGCTTAATGAATACATCGTGATCGGGTGAAAGCCGAACGCACCGTATCAAAAAACCAAATAAATAACGCACAGAACGAGCCAGCAGTTAAATAATCTGAGTTACTATATATTATCTTCATCGACAGCAATCAAACGACACATGCATTTCATCGATTACTTAGTGCATTACTCTCTCTCTGTCTCTGTCTCTCAAGTGAAATCGAAAGTCGAAAAATGTCAAATGAGAAGTGGAGTCAGCAAGTCAGAGTTGGGCCAGTCTCAACGTTTGCCCGCCAATTATCATTCACGGTTAATGATAATTAGCAAAGTGAATTAGCAACAGCAAAAATGTTATATGGCTTAAAAGAAGAAAAACAAAAAAACAAAACAAACCATTTGTTGAAGCCGCATCTGCACCACTTATGTCATATTAAGAGAGAAACACAAAAGCCACAGTAAAGAAATTGTAAAAAATAAACTTGGCTTAAATCTGGCTGCTTGTCTGCCCTTTCAAATGGACGAGCTAGTATATCATATGTATATATATATATATATAATTTAGTTAAAGCGTGTTTCCCTGTACTTTCAATTATGTGGAAATCATGGCACATCCGGCGAGCCAGCGAAACCATGATGCATCCAAATGATATGGAAAGCTTAGTGTCCAAACTGATTTGTAAACAATATTATATGAATTAGTCTGCTGACTTTGTATGCCTTTTCAAAGTTAAAGAGATCGGCTAAGAAATGCGTGTCATCAGCTCCGATTGAAGACGGTCAAATTCAAATAGCGGACCATAAAGATGCTGACCATTGTTGACCAAAGATAAGATTAAGTCTCTATTATAATATATAGTACCTAGCAATGACTTGACTTATTATTTAAACAGCCAAATAAAACGAAAGGGAAGATGTCTGATTTGTAGTAGAAATGTATAAGAAACTGACGCAGATTGAGTATATCTACGGATCAATCGCATTCTTTCTGTTTCTGTGAGTAAGCCGAGAAACTAAAGTGTCGATGACTGATTTAGTCTTTGGTTGTGGTGACTCCTATGCCCAGCAGGTATGGTAATTCTCAATCGATTTGAAGTGATTCATTTTATGTACAAATGCAATCACATTCTTTCAGTAAATACCAATTGGGGGTCATTCAGTCTGTCGTTTGTCGGTCAATTGGCACTGAAAGTCCAAGTGCCAGGAATTTTTCAGCATGTGCTGTTTGCTAGTATTTTTTTCTCTTTTTATTGTTTCTTTTTTTTTCTTTTTTTTTTTGCTCGAGAAAAACAAGTTTAAATGCTGCCCCCTTGCAGTACGGCCTGGCGATTTTTATGTGTTTTCTCTTGGCTTTGCTTGCCTTTAAAACATTAATTTATAACTTTGCTTTTGCCTCACATTGCGCAGCCAAACAGGTCGACCTTCAAGCTGTTGTACATATATAAATATGTATATATTGTATATGCACATTATCAGTTACTGCTGCGAGTAGTACGCTGAAACAAATCACCAGTCCGGGCCACTATGTGATCGATGTTATGTGATTGATACGCTTGCAGAATCATATTTCAATATAATTTCCCTCAAAATGACCGAATAAACATGAACTAAATGAACAAAAGATGCAACTCATTTCTGACAAAGATTCAAAACTAAAATCAATAATCTATCCATCTATATCCCACTGTATGAAATGTACTTGTGTAAAATGGCATTAGTAATGGTTGTTTATAAACCACATCTTGTTGGCCAAAAATAGCATATGACATAATTAATTGTATAGATGCCGTTGTATAATTGCCTCCCTTATGTGAATTTGGTAATAATTAATTAGTAATAATTCAGTATTGTCAAATTGCTCACTCTCCTTACTGTAGACCTCCATTTTCAAAAGTGAATTACTAAAGTTATGTATTAGCATTATTGATTAATTCGGGCATCTTCATATGAATAAGTTATCCGAAAATTGTTGAAGCCAAACCAAATTGAATCTTAAATTAGAATTAGCAGCAGTATTAGGAATATGTTAGTGACTTGCATGGCGAGCCAAGTCATATATATATATATAATGGGACTGCGTCATCTAAGAGAGTATCTGCAGCGCTTCGAGACTATCTATTGTGGCCACAGACACACACGCACACACACGCACACACACGCACACACACGCACACAGCTCGTGTGGTCCTCCTGCTGACTGCATCAGAAGAAGTTGCCGTTGAAGTTGACGTTGACGTAACGAGGCATTTGTTAATGGGGCCAACGATGCTGGAGAATGAGTGTGTATCTGACAGATACATTACAAGCAATGGATTTGACTGCTGGCTGATGCTGATGCTGATGGCTGACTGCCGACAAAACAGTTTTGCTGGAATTTCAAGCCACGCGGTTTAATTGGCAAACCGGTAACTTAATCAGTACCCCCCCGCGCCATCTCCCTCAGAGCTGAGACTAGCAACACAAAAATGTCAGAGATACAAATAAGCGACGAGCTAAAAGCGCGTGTGATCAAATTTAAATAAACCACACAAGCCATGCAGCATTCACTTTTCTATTGGCTTTACTTTTACGTCTTTTGCGTCACTCCAAACTGACAATTGCTTTGATTATTTGCAAATCTTAATAGAAAAAATGCACATCAGTTGCAGTTGCAGTTTCAGTTGCAGCTGCAGATGAGATTTGATTTTTTATTTATTTTTTTTGATATAGTTGTGTCCGTAGTTGAATAAGTTCAGTGTCATTGTCTGCGCCCAGCAAATGGCAACCGTAATAAATGAGCAGCAATAGCAACAGCAACAGCAGAAAGTGTTAACAATGTTGCATTTTTGCGTTGGTTGACTTTGCCGCATATTTAATGCAGCATGGCATTTGCAACATTTGCACACCCGCTGCCAGAGAAGAGATTTAAATATGGAGAGTTGGGCTACGCCTTGAATGATGATGATGTTGCTCATGACGCTGCATTGAGGGTGCAACATTTCCGCTTACATTTCAATGTGAAGTGCTTACACACACACACACACACATAGAGAAAGAGACACACCCATATGCAGATACTTGCGTTTCCGAGTTATGGGATACGCTTATGAAAGAGGGCCCATGTATTTGCCACACGCATATTTCAGTGCTGACATCAAATCAGCTCAAGTGATGATTATGATGGTGATGAGCATTTATTCCGTCTTGGACACTTGTCGCAATAAACTTGTTTCGCCTCCGCTCAAAAGTTATTTTTGTAAGGTAGCGCAGAAAAGGAAACAAAACAACAAAAAAAACCATATACAACAATAAGCACATACCCCAAAAAATAATCTATAACAAAAACAAATGCACATAAGCCAAACAAGTTTTCTTCTTGTTTTTGTTTTTTTTTTTTTACTATATTTTTAAATTTGCATGCGCAACTCGAACGTTCGTTTTGTTGTTGCCGTGAATGGTGAACCAAAAATTAGCATGACAGTTAAAAAAAGAGAAGAAGAAAAAAAAAAGAAGCGTGAATAGTGGAATAGGGGCCATCAATAGCATCTGGCCAAAAGATACGTATGATGAGCAGCCGCCAGGCACAACGCGGATGTAAAAGAAACCAGCCACAAAAGATCTTCAACGAAAACGAAATTAAATCCAAATTGTCTACTTGACGCCAAAGTAAAAGTATTTATTGGCCATTTACTTGCTCGTATGCATTGCATGCCCCAAACTCTTTTCGCTTTATGTATATATGTATATAGTATATATATATAGTTTATATATATTGTTTTTTGTATCTTCAATATGCATGCAAGGTGTTCAGTGCCGAGATACAGATAATTTGCGGTAAATTTAAATTGATTTTCGATGAGGCATCGTGTTGGAGTGCTTTCGATAGGTATTAATGGCAAATGCGTTTGACGTATTTATTATATAACAAAGCAAATTTTGTGCCAAAGGTAATCAGTTTACATAGTCTTCAATTATTTGGAGAGACTACAACGATTACATAAAACTGTTACAAAAAAAAAAAAACAAAACACGTATTTTGAAGGGAGAAAATATCTTTACAAAAATAGATGAAAATAAATACAAAACGAAAGGAAAAGAAAAGCAATGACAAATTCAATTATCACATTAGTTTTTTTTTTGTTTTATAAGTTCAAAACAAAAGAAAGTGTCGATAAGCAATTAAGACCAATGAACATCCATATATATATATATATATATATATATATATATGCATTTATCTATGTTTTTTTTTGTTTTATCTCCCAGCATTATAATCGGAAAAAAAACAGAATTAAACACTTGCTATTCTGGCTTTAATTAATTACGCAACCAAGCTGAAAATCAAAAATACAAAATGAAAACGAAATCAGTAATTAAAAGCAACAACAAATAGAAGATGCTGACCAACGACAACCTGTTCTTGTTTTTGGCTAAAGATCGACACACGGATTGTGTGGTGGCATGGAAATGTATTTGTTTTCAGAGTATATCAAATCGTGAGAAGGACATCGATTTAATTGAATTGTCTGAATGTCAACACTAGCCTTGAGCCGTGCAGATTGAGGAATGGGAATGGGAATTGGATTTTTTGGTGTTTTGGGTCGCCACGACAACTTTCGCTTGCGGCATCTTCAAGGTTGATGGGTCAATTATCCAGTTGATGATATAATGCAGCAGCTCACAGGAAATACAAAGTAAGACTCTCAATCTTGGCTCGAAAATGGAATGTTGCTGAACGACTTGACGAAAGATTTGCGCCAATTTGCGCACAAAATGCACCAAAAAGTTGTAAAAACAAAAAGACAAAAAAAAAAAAAAAATGATTTTTGTGCCAAACACTTTGGCAACTTACCGGAAGCATTTTGGCGGCAAAGCTTTTATGGGCAACTTGTTGTTGTTGTACTTGGCTGTATGCAGTTAAATATTTGCTGCTGCTGTTGCTGCTTGTAGACGATGCCGCTGTTGACGTTGATGTTGTTGCAACTATTATCGGTGCTGTTGGTGAATAATGCAGTTAAACGCAGTTAAATGCAATTGCCTTCTTTTTGGACGGCGACAGCCAGCAAAATGCTTTGCTTTATTATTAAATATTTGTTGTTTATTTTTTTGTTGTAATTTTTATTTATTTTTTTTTGTTGTTTATGGAATACGAAAATATTTGAAAAATGTATGTAGCAGTAAGTATGTTTAAACTGGGCCAAGCGCCTTGTTGTATTTTGCTATTGTTGCTGTTATTTGGGTGTTCGTTTTGCGATTTTTCCTTTTTGGGCTGCTGCAGAAATTTTATGCAATCTGCGGCGGCGCCTGCGCAGATCTGCGTCGCTTTATGCTCCGCTGCCCAGCGGCAGCAACAACAGCAACAATAGCAACAACAACAAAGAAAATGCAAGATCGAAAATAGTAAAAACTGTTACACACGTCTGCGCATTTAGTTTTTCACTTTCGGCAGGCGGTGCTTTTACCACAATTCTCTACATTCAATTTTCAAAAATACACTTTCGCATTGGCTATTATTATTATTATTAATTTCATTTGAATTGGGTTTTTTTTTTATCTCTCTTTGCTTCTTTTTGTGCTTTATTTTTTACACTTAACGCAACAAAAACAAAACAAAAATATTGTATGTATGGCATGTAATTACAATGAAAATAAATAAGCAAAAATTGTGTTCAACTGTTTTTTGTTTGTGTTTTTGTGTTTTTTTCAAATTTGGCAATTTCGATTTCGTTTCGTTTACCGAGCTAGTAGCAAAAATACCATTTAGTGTGTACAAGAAAAAATAAAAAAAAAAAACAAACAAAACCGCTAAGCCAACAGTACCGTTCAAGAGTCGCCACTGCACTGAATTCGATTTGTGGCCAAAAAGCGTAACCCAAGCATTAACAGCCGCCAGTTGGCCAGTTGCTAAGAGGAGCACCAGCAGCAATAGCGCAACAACAAGTTGTCGCCGCGCTGCGCAGCCGCGAAGCAGCAACCAGCTCTGCTAAACAGACAGTTCCAGCTCTGCCCAGCTGTTAGTTAACAGCGCGCTGTTAAACGCCTTTCAATTTGGTACACATGTACCTACCTATGAACAAGCAAGTAAATCACGGCTAAGCCATGATTAATAACGGCGCAGCAGCAACAAATTTAGGATTGATAGGATTGCAAAAATTAAGCCTTAAATTCTGCTTGGATGACCACGGAATATTATTTGTTCTTAATTATAAAAGAATAGTAAAATTTGAAAAAAGAAAATTAATATAAATTTGATTATTAATATTATTAAATAATATAATATGTATTAAGTATATATACTATAATAATACAATACTATATTAATTGGCAAGGTCATCCAATGGGATATATATATATATTATTTCGATTCCGAATTATTTACTAACTACTGCAATAATAAATATAAGTTGCAGCGGGTATCGAGATAGTTTGAAGTCTAATTGAGTAATTTGCATGGAAGCAGATAGACAGGCAGACATTGCTATATCTGTTAAAAATGAATATATATTCATATATGTACGGGGTCAATGCAGTGCACATAATTTACGACTTATGACTCTTACAATACCCGCTGCCCATCACATATCTTAATATCTTTCAATAAAGAGAAGCACGATTAAAAAAAAAACAAACGGTTTGGCATTGGCTTTGATTGTAAATCCCCATCACTCGCACAGACACATCAAATTGATTTCTATAATAATCTCCCTGGGCCCTTATGTGCAAAATGATTATGTATGTCTTTTGTCTCGACACATCTTTTTGTGTTTTATAACCAGGCCAATTGCAACAGGTGTTTTTTTTTCTCTTCTTTTTTGTTTTTGTTATGAGACTTGTTTGTCTTGCTGGTTAATGGGTTTGATTGCAAGCGCTAAAACGGATCCGTTCAGTCATATACGGGGAGAGAACTATGAAGAGAGAGCGAGAGTGAGTAAGAGGGAGGGAGACAGAAAGTGTGTGTGTGTGTGTGTGTGCGACAAAGAGAGAGGGAGGGCAACATAAATATATACGTTCATAATTTAGGGCTTGGCACTTGGCATTTGGCACCTGGCACCCAAATCAATGCAGGCTTATAGCTGCTGATGGCAGTTATATTGTGGCATTGTAGCAGTAACTGCTCATGTCCGCTTGGTATTTGATCACCATGTATCGCGTGTGGTTGACCTTTGCTGACCACTGCATACACACACACACACACATGAATACAAAAAAAAAACTACAAAAAAATCAAAATCAAAATAAAAATAAAACCGTTTACATAATAACCATTAAATGCTGTCATCGAAAAGTCAACGCTGCGGCGCGAAATGAATTTCAAATATTTAACCGAGCCACTCAATTGTTTGTGGTTGCTTTTGACTCTTGTTGATTGTTTAGCTCACCCCGCACTCCACACTCCACAACACATCCCACACTACACGCCTTTCCTTCCCTTTCCCAATGCTACCTGTACTAACATTTTCACTTCACCATCAATCGCTAGTTCCGTTTCCCTTACTCTGCCTCATTTCATTGGGCTTTTCTATTATTTGTTTTTTTGTTTGTTTGCTTGTGTGTTGGGAAGGGGGGCGGGGGGCAATCAATCTCGCATTTGGTAACTGCCATTTGCCAAGTCAAACATAACACAGATATGATAATAACGTTGGCTTACGGTATCTGTGTGGCAGCCAGCTCCTGCTGTTGCATTGCCCGCAACGCATCCGTTGCACGTCGCCTTTGCCTCAATGAGCATGCTGAGCACGCATCGCATTCGCAATCGCATCGAATGCATCGCTCAGCCAGCGAGGAGCCAAAACAAAAGCCAAAGCCAAAGCAAATGCCAGAGGCAAATAGCTCCTACTTTTCTCAAGGTGTACTTCCACTTCCGTTTTGATATTGTACCGTTAGTTGTTTGGCGTTTCTCCTTTGCTGTTTGATATTTAAGTATAAACTAAAACGAATCCAGCAATTTGTTAAGCTTATTTATTATATTCAGTATCTGCTAAGAGTGTTCGGCTAACAGATCGGTTTGCCGTGCTGGCCAAAGAAACAAATATTTTATTTATTTTTATACAAAAAGAAAAAAATATCTCCTCAAGGAACTTGTTTTTTGCCTTCAAAACCGTTCAAGGCAACAAAACTTTTGAGGTCACAATTCGATGGATGTGTTAAATACAATCGTGAAGAAAGCAAGGCACGAAATAACACTCTCTGCAGCAAAAAACAGATTGCTACAAATCTAATTTGATAGCACAAAAATCCTTGTCTGAAGTTATTTCAATTTAAATCTCATTATTACATATTTTATGTGACTAAAAGTTAGATTTTACATGAGGCCATATTAACTAGTTATGTTCAAATTCTTCTGGCATTTGCAGCTTACAATTTGGGAGTAATTTTCTTATTTCTAATACTTTTGCGCTTTGCACTGGTACATTTAAGACTATATTCAATAAGGGAAACAATTAATTAAAAACTTATAAGTATTCGCTGCATATTTTGTGCATAGATACACTTTTAATCCAGATTATGATACTTTTAGTTTTAAGTGATCATTGTGTTTTTAAATTTTTTTTTAATATATTTTATTTGCCTTCAATGTGTAGTTTTAAACAATTTTTATCGAATCTAATATGACGAAGAACTCTGTGAGAGCAAAGGAACAGCAGAGCTGACCACATACATTGATAAATGTTGCGTTTTCTATGATGATGAATCGCAATAAACTACATCTACATACACCATATACGCATGCATGTTTGTTTTGGTTGATTTATGATTATTTACGCTGCAGACCGCCGCCCGGACGGAGCATGCTGCTGTTCAGCGCCGGCATTTTGGCTGAACACTTTTTGACCTCATCAATTGCATGAATCACGCGCTCCGGCTGGGTAAGAAACCAAATCCACAATAGTTTGCTGTAGCGATAGAGTTTCTCGTTGTCCTACAAAAGTCGGAAAAATACCAGTTAGATGCATACAAATAATATATTCACCTTTATTCTTTTTTGCCTACCATACGCTGTGTGATCGTTTCCTGGAACTGAGTGCGCAAATGGCGGATTGCTTTATCAAAAGACAGCTGCTGCTCAGCGACATTAAACATTTGATACAAATATTGTGTATGGTCGAACATTGGCTGCTCCAGCGGCGAGTCGTAGACGAAAGGACGCAGCTTTTCCTCCACACGTTTGCTGTGAATAACGAATGAGAGATTTGTCAAATGCTAATCGGGATACTTACAGATCTTAGTAATTGAAATGTGAAATGAATTGATTCCTAATTAAAAGTGTCATTCAGTCAGCAATAAATATCTGATCCAAATGATATATTATTATTATTATTATAAATTACTCACAGATCGGCCAGTTGTTCGTGCACATAGACATGACTCTTTTCATTAAGCATACTTTGAAGTGAGTAGGCCAAAAGGCGCCCAAACTTTTCATACTCATACAGGCAGCTCTTCGCCTCCGTTGAGCGGACATTCTGGCCAAGATGTGCGGACAGTTGACTGGCAATTTCATGCACGAACTGTGCACAGACTGCACCATTCTTGTTGCTGGCATTTACAGAAAGCATTGCCTGCACGCGTTCCCAGCACGCCTCGGCCTGTTCGCCGAGCACCTGGGAGTTGTCCTTGAAGTTGCGTTTCTTTTCCAAATCCAATTGTATAGCTATCCAAATCAGTTCGGCATTTAGCAGGGCATCCGAAATGATGCTCGTCAGCTGCTTATCGCTCTCGCGTCGTCGCATCGCACGCTCCAATTTCTGCTTAGTGTTCTCGTAGAGGACCATCTCGATGCGCTGCTGAATGCGCTGCTGGACATGGATGGCCAAGACTGTCTCCAGCGTATTGTGTGTATTACTCAAATGGTTCTCGTTGAGCAGCTGCAGGTTGTGCGTCTCGCGCACCATCTCCTTCAAACTGAGGCACGTAATGCGATTCAGATCAAGTTGATCGCACAGCGCCTTGGTCGCTGTGGCAGTGGCCTTCTTTTTGATATAGGCGAGTGTATAATACTCCATGCTAAAAGTATTTGTGAATGAAAGACTCTGTGTGTGTGTGTGTTTGAATGAGTTACTTACGAGTTTTGCAAGTTTTCCAGCTTGCTGTTCATTTGCTGTATGTCGACATCAATGCTCTCGAACTCGGCATATTCCTGTATTTTGAAATTGTCCTTCATGTAGAGCGTGAAATACTGCAGAAATGAGTCACACTTGAGGAAATACTGATCGAGCGGCAGCTGATGCATAAACAGCGGCGGCATCTGTTGCATGGTAAATTCCCTGCTTGTCTCCTCAACGAGCTCACGATTGTGTCGCTGCAGCTGCTCCAATTGGCCAGCCTTCTTTTGGCATTCGCCCAGCAATTCCCTTTCCGCCACTTGCAGCGGTCTAATCTCATATTCCAGCTCAGACAGATTGATGTTGATGCTGTGCTTTGTGTTCCTTGTTGAACGAATCGTTAAACGTTTGTTAAACAATTGTTGCGTTCTCGACCTAATCTTCTAACTTACTTCATTTCATCGATGAGCACGTTGTAATCATTTGTTGCCTGCTGCAGCTGTTCGATTTCAGCGGAAAGCGCCTCCAGATCTTCATCCGTGTGCTCCAGCAGGCCCGGCCATTCGGCCTCGATTTGCTGTAATTTTAGCTGACGCTCCGTCTCGTTCAGCCACTCGCCATGCTGCATCATTTCATCGCGGGCTAAGAGCTCATGGTCGGTGAGTATGTTGGAGTCGCTAATATTTTTGAACAGGAATTGAAAGAACTTTTCGAAGCGTTCGTCGTAAATGATCCATTGGTTGGCGCTGTCGATGCCGAGTTTCTTGAGCATCTCGGTGTTCTGGGTGGCCGGGTGGTGCATACATACATACAGTAACATTAACAAATAGGCAGTGATATCATCTAATACTTACGTTCAGCAAATCGCCCATTTTTTAAACGAGACAAAGCAGCAAGTTTCTAATCGACTCAAATAAATCCCGCGAATATTTCCCAAGTCAGCAACGCTGTAGAGTTACCATACAGTCGGAAGAAAAATTATTGCGAGTATTTCTTGTGTACACACTGTATTTTTGTATATCAGCTGATCAATATTTTTGAGCAAACATTTACGTTCCAGTTAAGAAAATGTACAGCAAATAAATTTTGTTTTTTAAGAGTAAGCGAAATTGCAAAACAATGCTCATCAACTGTAGGTGTGTACACACTTTTTTTGGCAGCAACTGTTGTCATCATTTTGAAAACAGTTGAGCCACAGTTGCAAATATCAGCTGTCGTTGTCTCTTAGTACATTTGACTGCGCATAGAGGGCGCATCGAAAATTGCAAGTATATGTTTTAAATTGGAATAAAAATAGTAATTTATATATAAGTATATTTATTTATTTACATTTTTGTGTGACCTACAATTATCGAGATTCCGTCACTTGTGACATTCTTGGTTTCATACAAAATGTACAAATGTTAACGCGGTCTGCTGCGCCGCTGCCATCATTCGCGTATTTGTTGTGCTCACACTTTCGCAGCAGACAGGGTTGCCGATCAGAGCCTGTGCGAGGAAGTTGAAAGGAGAAGGGAAAAGAAAAGACGGAAAATAGCAAATAATGATTATGGATGTAGTAAGCAAACCAAATGGATGCAAATAAAGTGACTTACTAACCTGCGTGCAAGGTGCTGCGCAGATGTGTGATATAGCTGCTGGCTAGACGAATTATTTCGATTTTGGACAATTTGCGGTTCACTGGCTCTGTGGGAATCAAGCCGCGCAGCGCCTCGTAAGCAGCGTTCACGCTAAATTTTATAAACAGAGAACACAATCCGATTAATCGTAATATAATGTACTGTAACTGTGACTGCCACTGTAACTGTAACTGTAATTGCGTATTTTACTTTACTCACTTGAAGGTGCGATAGCGTTCCCGAGCATTTATCTTTTGTCTGGGTGGTGGCGGTGCCTCTGTGTTCTGTCTATGATTGCTGGCGCCAATTGATGAGTCCTCGGAATCACCGTTACTATCCATCGCATGGGACCCAAACGAAGACAGCAGCAGCGAGGAAATGTCGAGAGCGTCGTTCTCATTCATGTTGATGTTGATGTCCATATTAACATATAATGCGTATGTGCACTGCTTGCTTCCTGGACTGCGAATGCTAATGCGAATGAGCTGACGATGCTGCCAGCCACATTGGTCAGTTCGAGGCGTTCTCCCTCTATCTCTCTCTCGCCCTCTCTGTCACTGTTTTGTAGCTCAGCGGCTATAATTGCGTTCGGCTGCTAAACGAATTAAGTCATCATCGTCGCAAGTGACGACAAATTGTGCATGAAGAACTGAACAAGAGGGAAGAGTGAAGAGGAGCAGTCCACAGCCGGCAATAACCATAACAACAATAACAAACTAAAAATCCAAAAACAACGGTACTTATGCGCACTTGTCAAAACAAAGCATTGCAGCAATGCTGCCATCTTCCTCTTGCACACTGACACTCGAGAGTCTCGCACTGCCACACAAGACGCGTGCCGTTGTCGCTGAAACGGGAAACGGCTGGAAAACTGCACAAGCACTTTAATTGTCCAATGTTAATTGCTCAGTACGCCGTTTGCAATGACGCGTCGCAGGATAAGCAAAGAGGCAACAATTTGTTGCTCTTCTCGCTTCGCATACAAATGCACATTCTCATTCTGATTGCAATTGCAATTTGATCATTTCTTTATCATTCTTCCTACATTGCTCATTGCTAACATTGTGCACATTTCTCTCTTTCTGTCAGTCTCTCTCTTTCTCTCACTCTCACTCTCACGGACTGTTTGGTTGGTTGCCTTTAGCATGTGTGTTTTTGTTGTTGTTTTGCTGACTTGCAGCCCAAAACGGAAGTGGCACTTTTGTAAGTAAGTACGCTTAGCTGCTTCCCATACCCACACTTTACATTTTTAGACCAGACCACATGCAACGTCTACGCTTGCGTCAACAAGTGCAACAACATCCACGTGCAATTTTTGTATTTGTTTTGTTTTGCTATTGTTTTTTTTTTGCCTCTGCTTGCATCGTTGGCAGCGAGATAATTTTTCGATTTCAGTCAAGCAAAGATTTTAATGGCTTGTTTATTTTTTTAAATATTTTTTCTGAGAGTATTGTAATTTGGTCACACCCACGTTTATATATATATATATATCTGGTTGATGCCCCATTCAGTTCACAAACAGGTTTGTATAACTGTATAAATTTACATATCGGAGTCCTGTTGTGATGACTGAATGCAGCCTAGATCATGAATGAAGCACCAAAACAGCTTCAAGACGGGAAAAATCTCTCAGAATTCCTTAAATCGTGTCAGTAATAATTTAAAGCGTTTGGACCATCGATATTCAACTTTATCTCCTCAGAAAATACCAGATTTTCCCACTCCTGGGTCCAGGACATGTGTACTTTTGTTCATTCAAGTATCCTTGTAAGCAAGGATCTTAGCTACCTCCTCAGGCTAGATTGTTTTTCCTTCGTTGATTGATGTATAAAAAGAAACAGGACTTTCCACAGCTATAACTTCATCTAAGGTGCTTGTGATACTATCCCCTTCCGCTCGAAGATAAATAATTTAAAACGTTTTTAAAATAAAAATGTTTATTTTATACACATGTAAAAATTCACTTAAACTGCTATAATTCATAAAAACACATTTTGCTTATGGGTAAATTAAAAGGTATCCATTTAAAACAGTTTGCGTAAAAACAAAAGAAAAAAAATTGATTGTATAATCGAGTATCCTGGATTCGGTTGTACAAAAATTAGAAGTGTTTGAATTGAAAGTGTAGCATTGATTGGGGTTTTGAGCTAAGCTTATACATTGAATTTGTATTTGTAATATTTTTTTTTAATAATATTTTGAGACACAAAATTAAGCAAAAAATAAATGTGATCGAAAATTGTAGTTTATTTTACTTCGACTATATAAAATTAGATTGTTTTGTTTATTTTTGTTCTTTTAAAAATAATAGTAAATAAAACACCACAGTCATGATTTTTTAAGTAAACAAAAAAATATATATGTATGTGTAATGACATTTGGGGAACATTAAGGAAACTTGCTGCCGCTTACGTAGACTTCATACTCAGCAGTAGCAACATATTTACAAAAGCAAAAGATAATAGAGGAGAGAGCATGTGAAAAATTGAGCAAGATTTTTTATTTTTTTTTTTATTTTGTTGCGTTACTCATCTGATTTGTTTATTTCTTCATCGTATTTATGTTTATACATATATTTGTTTTTTTTTTTTGCTGTTTTTTTCTTTTTTCACTTTTCATTCGTATAAAAAAAAAAAAAAATAAATAAATTTCTGTAATTTTTCGTTGTTTTTTGTTTGATGAGAATTTCTTTTTGTTTTGTTTTCTACAACTTTCACTAGTAAGAATTTTGAGTTGTATATTTAAAAACAATATATAAATTTGCTAAAAAGTATAAATTTTGTTCAAAAATAATGCACAACAAAATCATAGTTGGTTTGTGTGTGTATGTGTGTGTGTGTGTGTGTTGTGATGGTGTGTGTATGTGTGTGTGGGTGTGTAGGAGAGTTTCTAACGTGATTGTGTGCGCGCTTTTGTGTGTGTGTGTGTGTGTGTGTGAGAGAGAGTGTTGAAATGTTTGCTGCTGTTTGACTCTGTACAGTTGAGTTGTTGACTTGACTAAAACGGGACCTTGTGGACGGCGCCAAGGTGCACTTAGATCAGCGCCGTTATCAATTTTGCCTTGAAGTTGACAAACTTCTCGCTGGTGGCGGCAACGCGCTATAGAATTGCATTGGGTATAATATATTGTTATAGTATATATGCAATTGTTAACTGTGCTGCTTCTGTTCTTCTTAGTTCTTACCAATATCAAGTCTTGCACCAGATTGGCCAGTCCTCGATTGGCCAAGACAACGAGACGCGTCACGGGGCCGGGAATACCCTCGGTGTAACCATCGGCAGTGCGTGTGCTATCCCCGCTACCATCTGTGTCATCTGTGCTGCCAGAGACTCCTCCTCCTACGCTATTGGCGGCCTCATCGCCCTGCTGGGTCTGCACGCTGCCCGAGAAGAGCTGATGACATGTGGTGTGTGTGTGTGTGTGTGTGTGTGCAATGTTAGCAATCAGCGTTTGTTTAATGAATCAAGATATTCGTTGTGATTGTACTCACTCGCACCGCATCCAACAGAAAGTTACCGGAACCGCCGCCGGCGGCGCCGCCGCCCAAACTGTTGCCACCGGGCGTGGCACCGCCACTTGAGCCGCCAGCGAGACCAGCGCCGCCAAAGCTCAGGAACCTTTTGAATAGATTACTTTTGTGTGTCGATTTATGACATTTTTTGGGTGGGTCGAAGGAAACGTGTACCAAATTGTGTAATTAGTTGAGTGTGGTTTTTGTTCAAAATGTTCTTGTTATTTATTTGTTCAATCTTATCGAATCGTGCAGAAATGCAATCTATGGATTACGTTGCGGATTTATTCAAGTTAATTGAACTTCACTGTTATTGTTGACTTTATTTGAAACGAACGCAGAATAGTCAAATTTTATTTTTCAAATTGAAGGATAATAAGCTTGGATAAATTATTAAGGCATAGCCGATATTATGGATTTTACTACTAAACAATGCAATAAATATGCTTCTCCATATTTTTATAGGAACAATAATATTGGCAATAATCCGAATCGTTATCTTATCATATACAAAATCCGGCTAGTTATATTTTATATATATATTGGTGTATAGTTGGTTTTTAAATACAAAATAAGCTTGAACTATATTTTTTCTTAATGTGAAGCATTTTGAAAATAGTTTTTATAAATTGCTTTGCATGACCTTATCGACAAGAGGGTGTGATGAACATAGATATGTATGAACATATCTATGTATGTATCATGTTTTATTGGCCAATTCGTTTGTGTTCGTGGCTTATGTAACAGACTGCATTTTTAAAGGGGTGTGGTAGGAGAAGGGGTGTGAGGGGTGTTGCTGGGCTGGCTGCTTACCTTTTGTTGCGATCATCCACATCGGCCGTGTCCTCCGCCGAGTCCAATGACAAGTCATCAATGGCCGGTGATTTCGATTCCGATTGCTGCAAATCGTTGGTGCTCAGAGCTTTCACATCGTCTATTCCACTGTTGCCGACATTTACTGTTGGCAGCTCGTTATTAAAGCTGAGCTGGATGGGCTCATTGGACTTGAGGGGAATGGGTGCCTGGGCAATGGGTGAGCCTCCCGACGATTGTTGAGCGGCAGCTGCTGCTGCTGCTGCCTCCGCTTCTTTCACCTGTCGCGCCACCCTAATTGTCTCCTCCAATTGTTTATTAATTGCCGATAGATCGATTTTTGTATCGGTGGCACCGTTCTGTGATCGGAACAGGGTTTTTTTTTGTGTGTTTTTTTTTTTCGCCGCAAAGGAATTCGTATTTGGTATGTTGCATTGTCAAAATTTTGAATTTTTAAGTTGATTATGTGCATTTGGTATGTGTGTGTGTGTGCGTGTGTGTGCGTATTTGTGGTGAGTAGATTTCGTTTGGCATGGCAAAGGATTTTCGGGCGGCGCAATGTGTGGGTTTTGTTGCAGTGGCATGTGTGGTCCGATTATGTATTATGTGTGTATTGTAGTGTTTGTGTATGTTTGCAAAGGGTTGGCATTGTGGTCGAGTACGGTATGGAGATATATATATATATATATAAATATATATATGGGTGTGTGTGTTTATGTGTGAGTGAGTGTGGGTTATCAGATATGTAAGGTTAGGCAGGAGGTGAATGTAATGTTGCATTTTTGGCATTATGAGTTTAGACGGTTTTTGCCAGTTGATTTTTTGTTTTGTTTTTATTATTTGTATTTTTTATACGATTTTGCCGTTTCATTTTTTGTTTGTTAATTGATGATGATGGATAGACAGAGAGAGATAGAGAGAGAGAGATAGAGAGAGGGTGAGAGTGAGAGTAAGAGACATAGATGTACGTGCACAAATGCAATCGGTGTATTTATGTATACATTTTGAGAGATTTTTTTTTTAAATTTATTACATTATTATTATTTGATTTTTATAGTTTTTAATTGCAGTTGATGGTTTCAATGCGTTGTTTGCAGTTTTTTTTTATTGTATTTGGATTTATAATAATATTATTATTATTTTTGTATTTTTTATTTGGTTATTTGCACAAATCGAATCGGTTTAATGGAACATGAAAATAAAGAGAAAAAGATTCAAAATAAACAAAAAGGAAAACAAAAGCAGATAGACAAATGAGCAATCGATCAAGCTAAATGCAACGCCACAAGGCTCACAAGCGAAAGAGCGCAAGTGTTGTGGCAACAAGAAAAAAAAGAAACTATTAAACACAACTAATAATTTCTAAGCGAAGACCTTGGATCAGAGTTAAAAGGATTGCGACAGAGTGCGCGTGTCTGTGTGTGTGTGTCTGCGTGTGTGATGTGTGTGTGTGTGTGAGAGAGAAAAGTTTAGAGAAGAGAGGCATGCGACACAAACACGCATCATCTGCGAACAAGTTACATACATACATGCATACATACACACATTTGTAAGTGCAGAGAATGTGCTGAAATAGCATGAGTTTTTCGTTCCTCGAAAACACTCAACACACACATTTTTTTCTTTAGTAAAACATTATTCATTATTTGAAATGGAGAATTTCTCTCGAACAAGTGGTTTTTTAGCTATTGATAGAAATCATTCACTGCGTATGCGTATTTGTCGCCAGAAATCGGGCGACAATCTCATATTCTTAGACTCGTTATTTTCTGGAAATTGAATTTGTGCAAATTGGAAATTCGGGAGGAACGAGTGAATTATGATTACGACTTCTTCCAGTAGTATTCAAAGCTGTAATCGAATTGAAAATGGGATTTTTGGTTGTTGTTTTTATGATTTCGAGTGTGTGTGCGAAACGAATGAAAGATCCAATGTGAACACCCTGTGGAAGAGTCAAGAAACATTCATGACTCTATATCTGAATAGCGTTGTGAGTGCACTCATGGCTGGTAAGCGTACATATGTGAATGCTCTTGCGAATGTTTTGTGAATACGCCAATGAGCATGAGCACTCATGAATATTGTGAATGCACTTATGAATATTCCGTGAATATACTCATGAATGTTGCAAGTGCACTAATGAATTACTCGTGAATAAAGGCGAACATTTTAAATTTTATATATAATGTATGTACATACATGCTGTGTACGAGTACACTCTAAAAAAAATAATATGCACTTCGTGTTTGAGCATTACAAAATTCATACAGGTAACATTATTTTGGTATATTTAAAGTAGATTATAAACGACTTAAAAAACTAACACAATTTTAATGTATATATATTTAAAAAAAAACACCTATTATATTTTTGATAAGTGCGCCAAAAGAGGGGCGCATAGAAGATGAATGCGAAAATAATTATAAAAAATTCTTTAAGATTACAGACTCAAGTATAGGAGAGAGTCAGAGACAGTGAAAGAGAGAGAGAGAGAGAGAGAGAGAGAGAGAGAGAGAGAGATGGTGGAGAAACAGCGAGGTAGAAAGAGAGCGGGAGATAAAGAGAGAGGACGAGGAGACAGATAGAGATGAAGAGAGAGGTAAAAAGAGGGAGATAAAGAGAGATGGAGAGAAATAGAAAGAGGGAGAGAGATACAGAGATATGGAGAGAAAGAGAGAGATACAGAGATACAGAGATATGGAGAGAAAGAGAGAAAGAGAGGGAGAGAGAGAGAGCAATGGAAAGACTTACAACTACAACATATCCAATGGAAAAGAAACAAAGAGTGTGTCAAAGTACAAGTGTATATAGTTTGAGGGACAGTGACAGATGCACTGATATATTAGTATCGAAAACCAGTGTTGTAAATATATTTTTTTTTCTTCTTTTGTTATAATTTGCATTAATATCATAAACAATTTTGAGTTTGAGTGGTGCTTGCAGTTGTGCTGTGGTTGTTGTTGTTGTGGTATTGCCAATTCTTGTTGCTGTTGTGAAAACACGGAACAAAATTTGATAAACATTAAAGAAAAATTGTGCCAATATTGTAATTTCTTGAAATACATCGCTTTGTTGTTGTAGCAAACAAATTTACACGCACATTTCTTTGTGATTATCGAAGACTGGGCGTCTTGGTGGTGGTGGTAGTGCTGGTGCTGGTGGTGGTGGTGGTGGTGGTGCTACTGGTGCTGCTAGTCTTCTCATTCGCATCAATCTCGTTCTCATCGTCTGGCTCAAAGGTGGGCAGCTCAATGGATACCCGGGTGCCACTGCTACTGCCACTCGAGCTGCTGCTGCTGCTCTGATCGCTCTTTGTCTGGTCGTCATCATCATCATCGAAGTCAGCGTCGAAGGTGTCGCGTGCCGCATTCGCTGTGTTGCCCTGAATGGCGGTGCGCAATACAGTTGGTCCCAAAGTGCGCAGCAGCTTGGAGATGATGCGATTCGCTTGCTCATCGATTTGCTACAACAACCACGATTCGATTTTGGGGCCAGATTCGTGTGCGGTTTGCGTTGGATTGTGGATTGCGTGGATTGCGTGGATTGGTGGGGCGTGGATTGGTGGGCGTGTGCGAGTGTGCATTTTGGGTACAGTGTAGAGAATGGTTAGTTTATTTAATTGCTTTTTCTGTGTATGTGTGTGATTGTTTCATATACTAAACATTGTGGGGCGGATTTGGATTGCGGACGGGGCTCATCGTTAATGGACACTGCGTGGCAATACTAACTGCTAAATGCTCTTTATACGGGGCAAGTCAAGAGCGAAATGTTTGCTTAACATATCAGAAAACTTTCCTCAGAGCTCAGTGAGAGACAGAGAGAGAGAGAGATGGAGAGATAGATAGAGAGAGAGAGGGAGACAGAGAGCAAGAAAGGGGGAGATAGATAAAAAAAGGAGGGAAGTAATGCTGAAATCAGACAGAGATATGAAAATTCCTTGAGTTTAGCTCCCAGCACTTTACAGCACTTATAATTCCAATATTATAAAATCCAAAAAAATGTGCAGATGTGTCCTTCAAGCATAACTTGCTTCAAGATTTCTAATTTGTATTTGCATGGACTGGTTCGACTTTCAGCACATAATTCGGGTACTTTACAACACTGATAGGGGAGCAAAGGCTATTTTGAACTCTTTCGAATTGCCCCGCGCAAAGAGCGCTTTTGCATTTGGATACACATTTGGAGGAGTTGTAACAAAAATATCGTTTTCGAAATGGTTGGGGAAAATAGGATTGGGCATCGGCGGTGGGGGGGTTGTTGTTTTTAAAACTGGATCGGTTTGAAATTAATTAGTGACAAATGATGTGGCTTCAAAACTAGCTCGATTGCTTTTAATTTTTTAATTTTGGTTCGCAGGTCACGATTCGAATAAAAAATGGATTATATTAAAAAAGATTTTTGTTTTTGTTTTATGTTTAGTTAGTTGAAAAACTAGTTGCTTGCACCAGGAGTAGTAGTTCAACATGGTTTCAAATTGTTTGTGTCTTAGACGGCATTACTTGCTTAAACATCGGAATGAGCTCTACATTTTTAGACTACAACGAAAATGTTAGCTACATAAATATGAATTGAAGCCTTGATGTAATTGTCGCTTGTTTCCAGTTATTGTTGTTGTTGTTGTTGTTGCTGTTGTTGTTGTTGTTGCTGTTGTTGTTGTTGGCGCAAAATTGGTCGAGTGTTGTGTGTTTTGGGTCTCACATTTGCTCTTAATCATAGACGGGCAATAATTTCGTAATGTTGCTATTGTTGATGTTCTTGTCAATTGTAGTCGATATTATTGTTGTTGCTGGCGGTGCAAGAGTTGTTGCTGTTGTTGTTACATTATCTCTGGTTGTAATAAAATAATTGGTAGAGTTTAATAAACGATTTATATCGGCTATAATTGTGAGCAATTGTGGTTCTTCGATGGTATTGTTGTTGTTGTTGTTGTTGGGATACTGGGTTAGAGTAGTGATGGTTGAGATAGTGGTAGGTGCTAATTGGGAGTTATCTGTGGTTGTTTCAACACTTGGTGTTTCAACTGTTGTTGTTGTTGTTGTTGTTGCTGCCTGCGTTGCAGTTGCAATTGCAGCAATTGCAGCAGTTGAAGCTGCAGTTGCTCCTGTTGTTGCTGTGCTCAATGTTGGCTCGTCGCCCAGAAAGCGTGACAACAGCTGAAAAGGCATCTCTGTCGTTGCTGCTGTTGTTGTAGTGGTTGCTGCTGTTGCTGCTGTTGCTGCTGTTGCTATTGCTGTTGTTGGGCTGGGGCTGGGGCTGGGGCTTGGGCTGGGACTGGGATTGGTGATGGTGGTGGTGGTTGTTGTTGTTGTCGTTGTTGTGGTTCTTGAACTTGATGATGGTGCTGTTTCATTTAGTTGGCTCTTACGCGCACTCCCTTTGTTCGCTGATGATTCCAACTCGGGTGCAAATGTCGGTAATTCGATTCTGACCCGCGAGCCATTGTCATCATTGTTGTTGCTAATTGAGGCTGGAGTTGGTGCTGTTACTGACGCTGGAGATGGTGATGAGGCCGATGCCGATGCAGATGCAACATCATCATCAAAATCGTCATCATCAAAATCGGCATCGAAGCTGCTTGAGGTGGTGGTGCGACCACCACCGGCACCACCAGTGCCCCGATTGCCAGCCAGTACGCTATTGAGCAGACCAGGGCCGGCAACGCGTATTACTTGAGCTATAATGCGATTAACAATTGAGTCGATTTCCTAAGAACGAGACAGACGAGAGATATGCAGAATAACTGTCACGGGGAGCATGCCTATCCATCAACTGCCATGAATTTTTGGGATGATGATGCTGTTTTGGATGCTTTGCTTATTTTGATTCTTGTTGGTGGTGTTGGTTGTTCAAGTTCATTGCTGTTGCTGTTGTTGTGGCTGTGGCTGTGGCTGTGGCTGTTGTTGTTGTTCTTGTTGTTGTTCTTGTTATTGTTGTTGCTGTACTTAACTTGATGGCTGGTTGTAACGTCCATGAGAGAGACAGAGACAGATTTTCGTCTTTTTTTTTTTTTGTGTTTCGGTTTGATGATGATTTTTGTTTTCATTTCTTTTTTGTTGTGATTTTTGATTTGACGACTTTTGGTGGCTGCTGCGGTTGCTTTTGTTGTGGTCTGGTGGTTGATTGTGTCTGAGCCGCGTTTTACAAAATTTTGGTGCTGTGCAATTTTTTGTGATTGGCCAATTGTTTGATGATTGTTTTGCATTTGTAGTTTTTGGTTGGTTAGTGCTTTGGCTTTATTTTGGCTTAACGAACATGTTCGTTTGTTTGTTTTTTTTTTGTGGTCAAGCTATTTGTGGGTGGCATGCATTAACTATACGTAATACGTGCACTACTGTCTACTGACAAGTGAAGTGGAGGGAGGAAGGAGGGCATGCAGCTTAAATGGCAAATGAGATAATCAACAGAGTAATTGACAGTGTTTTAATTGTATGCCAATATGCTAAATAAACTAAAACACGCTATTGCGAAGGAGCCTTCAATTGTCCTTCAGCTGTTCGGCAAAGTCCTTGTCGGGCTGATATTTGGTCAACTCATCAGGTAAGCTCTCATAGTCCTTATCAAGCGGCTGCGCCACATCATCATCATCATCAGCAGCAGCAATTGACGGCTTACGGGGAGCACTGCGCTCAAATCCCGGATTGAGAATCGTGCCCAAGACGACGGGCCCAACACGTTGCAAGATATTATTGACTAGACGATTGATTTGCATATTGATTTCCTACGAAATGTTCAGGCAATACAACAATTAACAATAACAGAGCCGCACGCCGCTCCGCATAGCTAAACAATATTATTATTATTATTCTGGATTGGGTGAGGGGACGTATGTATGTGCATACACATACACATACACATACACATACACATACACATATACATATAGATATGCATATACATATGTAGGCTTCGCTATGTGCACATATCTAAATTGATTGAAATTGATTGACGATTTACACCTAGTCCTGGTCATTCTCATTTACATACTAATCCGATATGCTAGGCTGGTTTTGTATACGCACCTTTGTTATATCCGGAAACAGTTCGCGCAGCAGTCCAATTGTTCTTTTGTTGCGATCAGCTATCAATTGTTCTTGATCTTTTGCGCCAAGTGTCAAGACATCGATTTCCTGCAAAGCAAAATACAAAATATGGTCAATACAATGCTCTTACATAATCCCTGCCACTGCCACTGAAATACAAATACAAATCATGATCTCAAACTCAAAGAAAATGAGTTGCAAAAAAAGCAACAAAGACTATTATTGTCCAAAGACCAACAATAAGCCAACAATTGATGAACTTTCACTTTGCACAATGAGACAATGAGTTTCTAGTCTCTTCTCTCTCTCTCTCTCTCTCTCTCTCTCTATCTCTGTGTCTTTCCCTGAAATATATGTATTTCTATATTGTGCCAATACTTCTGATTGCTTCTTTTTGATAAAGGAAATATTCTCAAATTAAATTGAAACATTGCCAAATAGTTACAGTTTATATCTCAGTTATGACTTTCCAATTTTGTAGCCCTTAACTTGCCCGAAGTTGTAAAGTTGCCGTATCTTAAGAGCCTCTTTTGTATGTTGTCTGATTAACTCACGACCTTAATCTCCCACTATTTACTGAGCACTTTTCAATGCTCCAGATCGCCCCCACGCGCCTCCATTCTTCACCGACTTGCACCGACTAATAATTATAATTTGCACAGCATCCACTGGAAACGTCGTTCAGCCTTCGTTAGCCTTCGCGGCAGTCTGCAGCATGAATAAAAAGATTGGACGAGGTGAGGGGAATATGGGGGAGTGTAAGCTGGCCAAATGACTATACAAAAAGTTGTTAACGCTAATGGGCAGTTGCAAAGCGGCAAAGTCTCAGAAAATATTGCACAAAAATGCTTAAATTGCATTTAAGCGTTGTTTTTGTTGCTGTTGCTGTTATTGCCGTAGGTCGTCGAAGGTGTGCGGGATGAAGAGGTTGACTTAGACAATCAACAGCACGAGTCATTGGACATGCAACGAGAATGGCTAAGTGTAGTAATTGCAATTGCTCAGATCTTATAATATATATTCATGGCGAGTACCTGAGAGCAGCGACGCTTCATTAATTCAAATTATGTTTCAGTTGATATTGTTTTAATTGAATAAACAGTGGAGATTGAAAACAATATAAAATCACATCCAAGACACTTTATCATAAAAGTTTCAGTTTGATTCTCAAGTAATAAAACTATTTAAAGGTAGGGCAATTAGACACAGACAAAACATAAAATGGACAATTGTTGTTGTCACACAATTGCTGGCATTGTTGTTATTGTTATGCAATTAATTGTCTCAAAACTCTGTGCGGAAGTTGTCTTTACACGCGGACGGAAGCTAATGCCAACGGCAGCAACTACAATGGCAACGGCAAGAAAAACTAAATACCTTTTCTTTGATTGGGCAGCGAACTGTTTTGCTCTCTGGCCACCGTTGTCGTATTTATTTGTTGTATTTGCTGTTGCTGCTTTTTTTTGTTAAGTAAAACTATGTAGTACTTGTACATTTCATTAAAGTTGACGCTATGCATTTTAAACAGCAGCAATTTTATTTGTGTTGGTCATTTTGTTGCGAGTAGTATGAGTACACTCATACCGTATTCAAGTTGATGCTGAAGACGGAAGAAGCATGCCATAAAAATTCTATAATATATATTTTATTATATTCATGTTATATTTCCTTTTCATATAATCGTAACGAACTAGGGGTAAATTGTGCTAGGCAAAATTTGTTATTACAGTTGACGAAGGAGGTTACGTACATCTACCATAGTTATATATTTGGATATATTCAAAGCTATCAATTAGTTATTAAATCTTCAATGGGTTTTCCAGAATCGTCTGCGATAAACGCATTTACATAAAATGCCAGACACGCTAAGCGCGCTAATAAAACCACACATTTACTTTATGTATATGTATTGATGTGTGGCTAAGCAGTCTGACCTTAACCAACATATATTAAATATGCAAATGCCGAAGAGTAACAAAATTTACAAAAACACATACAAACACAATATATAAAAAGAAGAGGAAAATTGATTAAGAAACTCCGATTTCCAATGAGTTCAAGTGCAAAAACTAGATTTAAATACATATTTATTAGTTAACGCATTTGCCACTAAAATGGTGTAAAATTGGAAAAAAAAATCAAATAAAATTTGACATTGAATATATATATATATATATATGTATATGTATAGTTGTTAAACTCTTGATCGCTTAAATGAATTGACCTGTTTGCAATATCTACACAAAATAAATATAACATGTGCTTGAGTGAAAAAAAAATGAAAAATGCCATCGGTTAGGGTATACCAATTATTAGAGAAACGACTAATGTTTGGATTTCAGTGTAGATTCATGATTAATGCATATCACGAACTCATCGCTGAGTTGTCCGTGGTCGATTTGTAAGTTGTCCAATGCTTTCAGCCCTCGGCTCAGATTTGTAGACCTTGTTTGACGACCGCACAAATCAATGAACAGACAAACAACAGAAACAATAATAAGCTCGATATTATGTGGCATATGAGACACACTTATATAAGCCATATAATTTAACACAAATTAACACATTCATATTTGCTGAGATGACAAAGATTTCGTATCCTTGTAAAAAATATATTAATTAATTTGTAACATTTATGCTAAAAGCTATCGGATTTTGACTTCAAGAGAGAGTAATGCTTCATCAAATTGTGTATTTTATTTATCAACATATTAAGAATATAGCTAAAGTCATTGGCAATCTGCGAATATTTCTAAAATGCAATTGCATTTAGTAAACATCAAGCTGAATGTTTCTTTCTGTTGTGGTTCTCATATTGGGTATACAAAATTGAGAATAGAATCTTGTTGACTTTCTGATTTGTTGCCCTTTTTCATATTTTCTTTTTGTTTTTATTTTTTTTTCATAATGCTGACGATAGCAACACAACTGTAAGTAGTTTTGACTTAATGACCGACTAGCAAGCGAGTCTCGTTTGCCACTTAAAAATGCAGCTACCAACAAATTGGCAGCAATAACAACAGCTACAACAACAACAGCAAGAACAACAACAACAACAACAACAGCAAATGTGAGCTGCTGACATGCAACTATAACGGCAACAACAAATTGAAGTTGACGTTGCTGCCGCTGTGCACAATGCGATGTATGAAATACACGTGTGTGTGTGAGTGCAAGCTGGCAACTGGCAACTGAGAGCTTATATAAGTCTGCTGTGGCAACCATGAGCAGCTGCCGAGGAACTAGAGTCGTGTGTCACTTTGGGGGCAGTCCCACAAAGCAAATTGTTGGATTGCTTGTGGGGGGCTCTTGTTGCTGCAGCTGTTGATGTTGTTGTTGTTGCTGTTGTTGTTGCTGTTGCCGAGGCTGTTGTTGCTGTCCGTTCTGCTCTTACCATTTGGAAGTCTGTGCGCTTCAATTGCCTTTGTTGTTGTTGTTGTTGTTATTGTTGCGATTGTTGTTATATCATTTAATAGCTAATGGAATTAAAAGAAAGCACAATGCTGAAATAAACTTGCAATTTTCCCCGTTATCATAAAAGCGACAGCAGCAGCAATATATTAATTCTTGATATTATCATTATTGCCAATATGTCACGCAATGTTCATCTTTTGTCAAATACAAATCAGAAAAGAAAAGTAGACGGTTATTGATTTTTTATTTGCATATAGCTTATCTAAAACCCAAATAGAAGTGCAAATAGTTATTCTATCAACAAGTAAAACGACTACTAAGTAGCTGATATAGGTATGGATGAGCTTAAAATATATATGTATAGTTTTGAGCTTTGCAGTGCTTAAGATATGTGTGTTCTATGTGAATTTCATAGCATTATTGTTATTGATGTTAGATGCACTTTCGGCCGAGGAAGAAACAATAAATTAATTGCTAATGAGTTATTTTCTGATAATTTTGAAAAAAATCCTCAATGCACATCCTGTCAGATTGTGTCGCCTTAACTAAGAAACTATGTGGTATCTTAGGGATGCATGTTCTGAGCTCAAACGACATAGAAACCCTCAACCCAACGTGCTAAAACTTGGGTTGAGGGAAGAGCTATAGACTCAGAAGGTGAACAATAGATCTAGCAGGTCGCAGTGCATATACAATGTATATCCCTAAAATAATATTAAGAACGGTCAGAGACGTCTCCTGCAATGCATTGCAAACTTGAAAACATAATTATATTACGCTCCCCAAGTTATTAAAATGCAATTAAAAATCTTCATGTTTTCTTTTTAAGCATAGTAGAAGAAAAAAAATGGAAATTATTTCCAAACACTTAATGGCAAATCAATTAAGGTCTGCAAATACATATATATTGGGTAATAGCCCTGAGATCATATTGATTATTTAATGACAAAGCGTTTCTTGCTTTGCTCGTCAACAGAAACACAGCAAACGAATGAATCGCAAAGTTTTATCGAATTTATAGTGAATATCGCACTTGTTTAAGATGTCAATGTGAATTTGTTATTCAAAGTGAAAGCCAGCAAGTTAGGTAGCTTATATGTTCACCGTCCTAACTTTGAGATACCCTGTGCAAAATGAAAAATAATTTTTATTTCTAATACATTCAGATCGTCTCAGAGAGACTATTGTAATAATATGTATATTGAATTGGCCAGCTATCCGTACAGGGTATAAATGGCAAAAAAATCAACAGTGAGTGAGCCGCTAACCAGTCGATAATGCTGATAATGCTTGTAAGGGAGGATATATATTTTTTGAAAACGGCTGTAGTTTTGGCCAACATTTTAGCACGCAACAAACAATTAAGTGATGACCTAGGTGTTAATTACTGTGAATAATGTTGTAAATTGCAGTTGACTGTGATAGATGCAAAAATTATCAGCTGACAGTTAATTTGGCTTGTGTAAGCTATGCAATATTTGAAAGTGCCTGCGAAGTGCAATTAAATTGTCCAAAAATATGGATAAAATTAATCCGAATAGATTCAAAATTCGCACGAAAAATACATTTATTTCGGAGGCCATTAAATAACAAAAAGATATTGCTTAACACATGGACACTAATACACACAGCCAGCCGGTTTCAAATGAATTCGTTTCGAGAGGGAATTATGCGGAGTTTGCGGATTGTGCCAACACCCAAGCGAGACCAACAGCAGCACGTCTTGGCCGTTGCTCTAGAGCGGGCCAAGGAAACTTGCAGCAAGTGTGCCAACTTCCTTGCAATTGGCCACTGCCCCGATCTGGTCACGCAGGTTTTCTGCCATCACACAGCGGCATACAGACCCCAAGACCTGATTTTTCTTAAATATTCCAGTCTCAGCCGTCGAAAAAGTAAAAGGAAACATTTTTTTTAATCGTTGCTACAAGCTCGACAAACGAGTTGGACGACCAACCGTCTGAATGGTTCGCATACTCATCCGACTGTATATTAGCCAAATAAGTGCAATAAAGGGCAGCATTGGCATCGCACCACACAGCGTATACATGATGCCAGATGTCATATCATACACTTGCACAATTTTAGTATGTAATAAATTCTGTTGCCAATAGTATTTAACAACCCTTCCATGGTCAGCTGAGCATCTGTCTTTTTGTTGGTCTGCATAACCGCTGAGGTCATCAGACCCCATGAATAATATTATTATAATATTGTCATATATCTGCTCACTGGTTACTAAGATACTGGTTGGCATTACTTAAATCGACTTTGACTTACCTTTCCATTGGCAAGCGGTATTTGAAGCAAATCCAATTCCTGATTACCAGCCGGATGTGGCAGGGGACTTGAGCTGATTAGGCAAACGGTGCTGCATAGAATCAGCGCCAGGATAGAATGGTGTGTGCTCGGCTGCCTCATTTTGTTGCAAAGACTGTTGTGTTTTTATTTGTTTAGGGAGGGGGGAACTGCAAGATAAAATCAGAAATAACATTCTTATATTAGTACACGAATACATACATTAAATCGAAATATATTGAGTTGAAATTAAGAAAGAGAGCAGGCCAAGCAGCTGCATATTTATTTTGAAACGTTAATCGTTTAAAGGTCGTCTGATGACCTTGTCGCATGAAGATTGTGCGGCGCTTTTATTAACGTGTTTTCTATTTATTTAAAAGTCAAATTCGACAATAAACATCACAAAAAGTGGAATCAAAAATGTTTGCATGTGTGTTTATTCAGTTATATGGATTTGTTGGTTTTAAGTGGCTGGAATTTTTTATTTTTTTTTTTTTTTGTAACTTGTGAGCGCTTATATATATATTTTGTTCGTTTTTGAATGTTTTTTTTTTTTTTTTGGTTATTCTAGGGTTTAGGCAAGGCTGAAAGGCAAAAAATGCGCTTAATTGACACTGAATTTGGCTATTTTTAGTTGTTTTTTGTTTTTGTATGATGCTTTCGCATGAGAGTAGCGAATAGGAGTCAATTAGGTGTTTGTTTTGAGTGTGTGTCAAGTTTAAATATTGAACTTTTCTTGGACAACGCGTCGTATGAGTAATGCGCATTGTATTTATGTGGAAAGTGTGCGCAACAACAACTGCAGCAGCAGCAGCAGCAGCAAAGCAACGACGGTAAAAGCAATTTATAAATCACTACGACCAAAGTAGCAAACAACAACAAAACGCCGCAATAAGAATTATGTAATTTTATTTAGACAGCGCAGACGTCAGCAGTGGCGTCAACAGCGACGTCAACAGTGACTGCAACGTCAACGCCGAAAACGTTGAGCGGGTGTTTGTAAGTGTGTAACTGTGTGTGTGTAAGTGTGTGTGTGTGCGTAGGTAAGCTTTTAAGTTTTAGGAAATTTGCCTCGAATTGAACAAAATGCAAAAGCTGAAGCTAATATAAAAAGCGGAGAGATATTGCAATCGTGCGAACTGTAAAAAAAAGATGCAACGATAAATGTGATGGAGATGCCTAAGCAAAGGCAAATGAAATAAACATTGATGTCATGACGGATATGAATGTATATATATATATATATATATATATATATATCTTGCTGTACACATAACATATGATGATTGAATATTTCAAATAATTAACCAACTAATAAGCAATTGAAAGGATGGTGTGATCACACAATACTTGTGCCAAGCAATTAGAAACATAAACCTGGTGTAAGCTTGTGGGACAAAGGTTAATTAAACAATTTTATGCATTTATTGACGCATCACGGTTGAAAATTATGCAAGATAGAAAATATTGCATTTAAGTAGAAGGAAATTATTAAAATACTGTAGCTGAATTGGGGTTAGCATTGGATTACACAAAATAAATCAAAATTGCAAAATGAAACTTAATTTGCATATAGTTGCTGACTGATTAATTCAACACTTATTAAAGAGCTCAAAATAGCACAAATTCGTATTACAAATCGATTGAGGGGGGTTTTTTTGTTTGGACGAAGTTGAGTATGTCAATAACGAATTAAAATCGATTAAATTGGGGACGCAAAGTTCAATGTATGCTGCGAAGGTTGGCCACACTTATGAGTATGCGTATGAGTATGAATATCATTATGAGTTAAATTACAAGTAGTCGCATGAGCTTAATTACGATTATAAATATGAGAAAGAGTATAGTGAAATGCTCAACTGGGAAATCAACGTGTAAGCTGCATTCTTAACGCAATTGTCGACAGATTGGCACGTCAGTCAGTCAATCAATCAATCAAATTGTGCGGGTGTCAGTCTATGCATTTGTCTATTGGTATGCGCACACACTTACGAATATATATGTATGAATGTGGGTATATATATTTGTATATTTACTATATATATATATATAAATTTGGCAATTTGGCAACAACAGCAATAACACGAAAACACTTCTCTTAGCCGATTATTAGCTGTGCGTGGCAACATGCAATGATGGCCAACGGTCAGCGGCTATTAAGTAGGGCGTAGCGCCAAAAACCAAATGAAAACAAACGCAAAGCGGAGAGATAACGCAAACAGAGACGGCTTGGCACGAGAGGCAGAGTTGCCGAAGGCAACAAATAATAATAATAATAATAATGGGCGATGTAGAAAGGGAGAGTGCAGATTGTCATCACCGAAACTGGAGAGTGCCAAGAGTGCCAAGAGTTTCGAGAGTGTTGAGTGTTGGGGCTGTGTGAGAGTTGCCACAAAACCGGCAATAACAGACAACGAAGCCCATTTGACTGGCGGTCTATCTCTCTGTCTGTCTGCCTGTCTGTCTGTCTGTCTTAGCTGTAGCTGTCGCTGTAGCTATGGTTATGTCATCTGACTGTGGCTCAGGCGCAGCTGATTTTTATGTGGCTGCTTTTACTTTTTACTGGCCCGGCCGTAGCCTCAGCGTCTAAAAGTGTTTCGGCTCATTAACAATTGTCAAAGTGGTTAGTTGGTTGCTTTGACAGCAATCCACACACCAATATGCATATAGTTCATCATATTTTGCACACTTTTAATTATTTCTCATACGCCATGTGGCGTACGCGACGATTACCGCTGGCCCATAAATTCGGATGACATTGGGAGTGCATAACATGCATGTCGTAATTTAAATGGGGCGCACAAAATATTGAATAGATAAAAAAAATAAAAAAAATAAATAAAATAAAGAAACACTGTGAAATATATCAATCCAAAAAAAAAATATGTATAAATATATACAAATAATGATATCAACAAGTGCAGACTGAATAGCGTTTTGATGTGAAGGTGATTTTGCAACCGGGGAGTGGCATTATATGGCACGGACATTGCAAATGACGCAGCAAAATTTTGCAAGTGTTGTCTGACAAAGTGTCTCTAGTCTCCATTTAAAGCTGAAGCCTCGGCTTCCTGTCATTTTCCACGTCCACCTCGAACACGCTTTTCTTCTGGTGCAATTAATTTTGTAATATATTAATGTTGTAAATATATCATTGCGATCGTGTCATGGGGCGATCATCGAAATTAATTGCAAAAGAGCTAAGCTTAACTTGAGTTCTGTAAGCCAAGCATTCTGTTACAGTACAATTGTAGTAAACTTGTTAAAGAAATCAGATAAATATAAGCAGACAAATACTAAGAAACCCATGCTATCTTTTCGACTTCATGCAGAACTCAGCTTCTTTTTTCTTTCAAATACAAACAAGAATAATTTAGTTAGTAGCAACCACTTTGGAATCGATTCGTTAATGACAACGCTGTTTTCATTAATTGCCGATTATGCAATATGCATATCAAGTATCATTAAAATGTCAGATTTTATCGGTCTGGGGTGAACAAAATGAATAAACCAGAGATGTGCAAGAAACTTGATCTGCTAATGATATGCAAGAATCGAAGCTTAGTATTTAGTGTCTTTATCTTTTCAAGTTTCATGATGCTAAAACATACAAAAAACATCATGCAAGATTATAGATACTTGAAATGATGTACGAATTTACGTATGACAATAAAGTCACCTTAACAAAGCAATATTCTAATTACTCTGCACTTAAATTTGCTTTGTTTGTGATATATCACTAAAAGATATATTCGTTAATTTTTGATTGGATTTTTGAAACTGGCATGCAGTTAGCAAGTAGCCTAGGTATACAATTGCAGGAGACTTTTGTCGGGTTGACACCTCCTCCCCCCATCTCCTCCCTGTTTGTAGGTTTAGAAAGATGTATTTAAACGTGATCATCAGTCAATAACTATATGGCCAAGGCTTACAACCATTGGAGACTTTTAACGGTTGGAGCGCTTCCCCTTCCTGCCTTTCTCACGTCTCCCGTTGGGTGGTACCATAATTTTTAACACTTTGAGCTGGGCATGCTCGAGTATAAATTGCAAATTTAAAGTCTCTAACAGACAGACAGACATTGGGCAAAACCAATATATGCTTTTCGCTGTTGGCTGTAACATAGTAGTAAAGGTGGAATTGTAAATGATCACTTTAAGCCAAAAACAAAAACAAAAAAAAACAATTTGACACACGCGTTAAGTTTAGGTACGATTTGCACAAAAAAAAAATATATATATATGCACAACACACAAAAAAATTTAAACAAAACAAAATATGTAAAATGTGTATGCAACAAGCAAAACCAAAAAAAAATAGATATATTAATAAATAATAACAGTCAAACATTTTGTATTGTTCGAGTTGAGTTTCGAGTGATTCTTTCATTGGTGTCTTCTTAGTTGCTGGCACTGTTGCAATTTTAGTAGTTATATTTTAGTTATATTGGTTTTTGTTTTTGTTGTTGTTGTTTTGGTTTTTTTTTTTGCAACTCTTGCGGAATTTGCGCTTATTGCAACTATTTTTCGGCATGTCGACTGTTGTTGTTACTGTTGCAGTTGTTGTTGTAGTTTGCTTGAGACGCTGTTGTTGTTGGTTGAACCATAGGCGTTTTTTACATGTATGAGAATGTATACATATGTATATGTATGTAGGTGTGTATTTGTATGTGTGTGTGTGTGTTTGTGTGTGTGTGTGTGTGTGTGTGTGTGTGTGTGTGTGTAGTATATCCCCACGTTTATAGTGCGTTTAAACGGCGACGGTTGGCAACGGCGACGAATACGTACACGCTTTGTTATTGTTGTTTAGATAAATATATATATATATATATATATATATATATGTATTTATATATATGTATGTATATATATATGTGTATATGTATATATTTGAATTTGGCTTGATTTATACTTTTTGGAACTTATTTGAGTAGTATGGTGGACCTTTCTGTGACTGGCGCTGGCTTTGCGGTCTTGGCTGGTGGGCTTGCAATTGATTACTAACGTGATTTTATCATACACTACCGACTAAAGCTCGAACAAAGCGGCGAACCGTACAAGTGGCTGGCTGCGACGCCAACAGCAAGCAGCGAGCAGCGAGCAGTGAGCAGTGAGCAGCGAGCAGTAGGCAGTAGCGGTGAGCAACAGCAGCAGTAAGCAGCAGCAACAGTTAGCAGCAGTCGCAGCAGCAGCAGACGCTTAGCTGAGCTGAGCAGCTGTTGCTGTTGGCATCAGACGCTTAACGCCTTGACTGTGAAGTTGCACTCAAAAATTAAAAAAAAAAACAACAACAGCAGCGAAAAAAACGAAAGTGAGTCAAAGCCAAGACGTGCTTGAGTCAAACATTTGAGCGAGAAATTGTAGTTGGTTGTGTGGATGTAGCTGTTGTTGTAACTGTGCAATAAAGGCTTTATGTGCGCTCGTGTTTGTGTGTGTGTGTGTGTGTGCGGATCATAATACGCGAATCTCTTCGGCCGTTTGCCAGTCAACCAAAATTTCCGCTTCGTGACTTAGTGGTTGGTATGTCAGGCAATTAGCGGGGCCCGTGGGCAGGATTAGGCTTACACAATATTCACAGCTGTTGCCCATCTCTTGAATCTTTATTGCACATTTGCGTTTAGTACCCGCTCATATGCGAATGTGTGTGTGTGTGTGTGTGTGCGTGTGTATGCAGCATGCATGTAGATTGTGTGTTCATTTAATTACTGGCCAGCGCTTCTTGAAGTTATGCTTCAGCTGATAATATTCGTTAGTCTCGAGTTGCGTTCACCGCTGCTGTAAGTGTCCTCAACGAGATGATTGCTCAATCCGTTCGAAATATTTGAATAGACAAATTCCGCATTCCAAGTGCTATGCAAATCAATTTTTTTTTATTTAAATAGCACCTTCCTCAATACATAAAATTACAAGCCCATAAAGTATTTATTAAGGACTTGCTTGTAATTGTAATTTAGACATTGTGCACTTTCAAATAATAAATCGATGGCATCATATTTGATTCGTCATACTCACAAATATCAGTTTATTGAATGAAAATTACTTCCACATCCAAATCGTTTAATTTCATCTGTCATCTGTCAAGAGTATTTAATTTAACAAGTGTTGCAGATAATTTAAATTTCGCTTCATTTACAAATTCTTTATTTAATAAATAAGCCTCGAAAGTAGTTTTTTTTTCAAGGATTTTAGAACGGAACTTAATGTAATTTTCTGCATTTCAATTAAACAAAAGAAATTTGAAAGGGATCTTAATTAACTAAAAGAAACAAGTTTTGTGCCAGTACACGCAAATGTGAGTTCGAAACCCAAATGAATCCACAAAATGAAGTTGTCTAACAACATGTTCGCCTTGTATGTTTTGGGGGATTAGCTAGATTATCAATGTTCCTCATGATGAATTCCAGTTTAAGGCCTGTTGTCGGTATCTTAACAAGATCACTGCAACCTCCCATGAACCCAGATAATGCAAATGCTTTCTCTAAAAGTGCATGTCCTCTTGGGGAACAATGGCAAACCACCTGAATCGATATCGGGCTAAAGGTTAGAGACAGCGCCTTCTTTTTTCTGTTTTGGTATGCAAATTGTGATTTATCTGTAAGACAACTGGCCGAAAAACACCGGCCATTAAAGTTAATTTAAATGTCATTTTCGTTTTGGCAGCCTTTTTCAAAAGCGAACGAAGACTGAAACTAATTTCATAATTTTGCGCATATGCAAAGCAATATATATCACTGTGTGTGTGTGTGTGTGTGTGTTTGTGTAAAAATCTAATTCACCTTAAACTAATTTGGAACGCTTGCAACATTTGTGTGCCGACTCAAACTCAAACTTCGACTAGTTTTTGGGTTGCGTCGATTTGAATTCATTTTTGCTCGCCTGCCTTCATTTTGTAATCGTAAAAAGACAAGATACTCTATCTGTGCTGCGCTGTTTTTATTGCTCTTGCCGAACAACACAGCGTATGCGTAATTTGTAGTTTTCCATGCATATCTTGTAAGCGATCCGCTGTTCTGTGTCGTTAACCCAAACCAGTGAATTGAGTGAATTCAGTCGCTGCAGCCTATACAGTCACTATTTAACTGGTTATCCTTCAGATCATACGCACCAGCACTCAACACACACACACACAGACACACACACACACACACACACACAACCAGTTCTTGAAGGTAAAAAGCTTGCACTGTGATCTCTGCTTGGTGCTAAGTAGCAGCTTCAGTCAAGTAGTGGCCAACAAATTCAGTATTAAAGACAATTTTTCAAAATAATCCATTTCGGTGTCGATGTTGATGTCGATGTCGTTATTCACCTTTACGCCAATGTAGACAATTGCCAACTTCCGGCCAGTCGCAGCTTGCTTGTTGCTCTGCATTTAATGATGCTTCCACTTACTGCACTCGTTAATGGATTAGCTATCATCTAAATGTTAATGATCGATTGTTCCAATCAGAGTAGCTTGCATAGAAACAGGCAGACAGACGACAATGGCTGATCTAGAATATTAATACTTCATTTTTCAATTTGTTACAAAAGAATTCACGACAAGTTTATAATATCCTCTACATGGGTATAATAAGATAAGCGCATCCTGATTCGTATAATAAATAGACTTGTTTAGTTACACAGTACTACAATAAACAATTTTGTGGTCCCTTCAAAACAGAATGCTGGAATGTGATCATTTCTAATTATATCTGATACTTTTCAAACAGTTGGGCAAAACATTTTTCTTTCACAATCTTAGAATATAAATAAATAAATAAAAATAAAAAAATGGATATTGGATTTATTTTGTTATTGAATGTATAAATTCCATTTCGACATAATGCTTTAATTTTATTTGACTGAATTGTATTTTCCACTCGCTTTTAGTGTCATTGTCACACATTTAATTAAGTAAAAAACTTGGTTTTAAATCAGTTTGGTTTATCATGATCAATTTGCAATCTAGAAAAGCAAAAAAAAAAAAGAAGAAAATTGATTGTGCTTATATAATTAAATTCTTGGCCATTAAATGATCTGGCCATGCTCGTGGGTTTGTCTGCCCGTTTGTTCGTCGGTCTGACGGCACAAGCGTTTTAATCTCGGATCAAGCTCCTCCACTTAGGGTACTTAAAATGTATAAGTCGGCAGATGTAATGAGCGATTGGACGTCGTAAGTCAAGGATATCTCTTTAGTCGAGCACTTTATAATAAGTATTTGAAACGTTCTTCATTTTTCTTAGCTCTCAAATAGTGTTATTTGATCCGCAATGCTAAATACTCGTTGACATATTTTCAGCTTCCAAGCATCAAGATTTAAAAGCTCGTTTAATTGCAGCTACCCACTTAAAGCAATTAAAGATTTCTTATGCTTAATGCCACAACTGCGATGTTAATCATTTGTCCTCAGTTCATCATAGGCGAGCAATTATGTACAAACACATGTAAAATCATTTATATATGTTTATATGTATGTGTGTAGTAGTGTGTGTATTATCTTCCAAGCTCACAGTGCTTTAAGCAGTCCGAGAGTTCACTTGCCATGTTCAATGGAGCAATTAAATGCGAAGATTTTGTCATGATATTATTGCTGTTGCTTGCTATTTAAGCCATGGACGATAACATTGTTGGTTGGAGGGAGTGTTTTTTAACATTTTTTTTGCCTGTTCTACAGCCTTTTGCCAGACTTTGATATTTTTTTTTTACATGTATTTGTATTTTTCTTGTAAGCATGAATACATTAAGTACCCCATTTTTTTGTACAAAATAGTAAAAAGGGCCATGAATTATAAGGAATATATTTCAACAAAATATGTTTTTTTGAGGAGATATAATATAAGCTGAAGGCTAGCCACAATAAATTCATATTTGTTATAGGTGATATAAATAGTCCAGAAGTTTCTCAAATTTGAACTGGAATAACTAATCCCTAAAAAAAAGTTTAAATATTCTTATTTTATCTCTATTGTCGCAGTAGCATTTTGTTTATCTATGTAACTGTTAGTAGATATTTTCTCGCCATAGTTTAGTGTCCGGCAGAGTGCTGCTTCTTGAGTAAATGGAGGTAAATATTTGCAAGCAGCTTTTTATCAATATTGGCAGTTGGCAAATAGTCTGTGAACTTTGCACCGATTTTGTCGTGCTTCCGTATGCTGAGTAATCTTTAATCGCATGTTGTGCCCTGTGACTGTTGCATGTTTATAGCGGGTGTTAACCAGCAACAAGCGTCAACTTACAACTTACAACTAGCGTCCGAGCCCTGCACCTCCCTTCGGACACCTCGCTAAAATAATGGTAATTACGAATAATACGTTTATCATCGGCAACAAATGCGAGTTGTTATTTTTTTAAAATAACAATAAAGGAATCTGTCAAGTACACAGAGACAGTACATCTCGACAAATAAGCAATTACTTTGTATGTGCATTTAAATAAATGCAATTATTAGCTGGGAGTGCATCATTAAGTCTATATGTTGACAAATCGATGAGTATCGCATAACTCAATATTAATTATAATGCCCCATTAGTCATTGTTTTACTGAAACATTGGAAAGCACTTTTTTGTTTTAATCATTTAATCATTCGTTGAGTGACTTTCGAAAACTATTAATCTCGTCTGATAGATGCAATAGATGGATGGCGATATTATCTTCTAATGTATGACAAGTTAAACATACCTTATGATAAGTTAAACATATGTATGATAAATGAAAAATTTTGAAATCACTTTTGTGTGTTTGAGTAGCTTCTTTGCTCTCCAAAAACTCTCTATATTTGCAGATATTATTGGAATTTTTTCAAAATTCAAAACTGATTTGAGCTGAGCTCAAATTTATCCATTCTAACTACAATTTCTACCGTCCGCATTCAGAGATTTAAAGACTCAGATTGAATTGCCCAACACTTATATTATCAGTTTTATTTAGTTTAAAAGTAAACGTTTTTGGATACAGGGTATCCAGCATAGCAAATCAAAAAAAAATATTAAATATCGTTGCCAGGCTATACTGAGTAGCAGAAAAAATGATATTGGATTAAAATCGAAGCAGCATTTTAGCAACTCAATGGCTGGCCTTTGGCTGGAGCTGGGGCTGGGGCTGAGCTGTCATTTGGGTGATTGGCACACCGGTCCACGTACCAGTTAAATTGAATCCGCGGTCCACGAGTCCAAAACAGTAAACTGTGTGAGTAACAACTAACAATCAGATCTCGCTTGGCTAACAGTGTGAAAAGGTGTTAAAGGAAAGGCCACAGCACAGCACAGCACAAAACACAGCACAGCAAAGCACATCACAGCACAGCACAGCAAAGTGATGATTTATCAGTTTCGGCTCTGCCTCTGCCACTCTCAATTTTTTTTCCAGCATTTTCAGTTTTCAGTTTCGTTGTTTTGGCCATTACGTGATATTGATCAGGTTGGCACTTTGTGCTTTTTTTCTCAGTCAACGCACAATATACATATATATATATTAATAACTTTATTATTGGGTCCACGACCCCAAAAGTCATGCAAAACAACAATGCGCGGGGCCTCTGCGACATTTCGGGGCTTTTGGCTATTCGCAGCGGGTCAGCGTTGAGCGGCAACTAATTAGATTGCCTGAGAATAGCTGCAATGACTGGCAAAAGCGAACAGTCTGACTCTGATTGAAATGATTTGGTAAGAAACAAAATTAAAAAAAATTAATACTAAAATGAGTTGGCGCAAAATCCTTATTTGGGTTAAGTGGGCGGGAGACTGGCACAGGCACTAGTGGAAGCCAAGCATTCGAAAGGAGACGAGCATAGTCTCCTAAATTGTAGCATGAGAGGAGATTATCAGCTTCTATAATTACAATCAAAGCTATTCGTTGCAACTACCTTGGCATCTAGTCGTTTGATAATACACATTCAAATATAATATTATTTGACGACATATGCGTACAAATATATGTCAGCATTGTATTGTGAGCTAACCGCAAATGAAGGATGGATGCTTAAAGGCCAAATCAGCGAAATAAAGCATTTTCGCTGGGGGACATAGAAAGACAGCTTAGAGGCTAAAGCAATTGTCTAATCACATCTAAAGATCATAGGTTGCTCCAAAAAGCTTGAAGTACATACTCAAACCCATTTAATGGCAACAAGTAACAAGTATGTATATAATGTATATATGTTTTTGTATACCCTGTATAAAATATATATAGCCAGCTATTATAGCCAATTTGTTATGGATTTTATGGTGTGCATACACAGAAATTGCAGTTGCTAGTTGACTTTTGATACTTATGGCGCTATTTGATATGCTAATTTTGAGTCACATGCGATTTCTCATATGATCTGGGGAACGAGTAAGTATTGCTGGTCAAATAGATTTTATTGCAGTTGTGCTTAATCGATGTCATTTTTTCATAACAGCAATGCTGGCGTGTTTGAGCATTTAATTATTCGTAGCCCTGTTCCAATTCCTGCCACAACTCAAAATGCGGCTATCATACAGTCATAAATTGCTAATAGAAGTGCAAAGTTTATAAATATTTTTTTCTTCAATATATATATATATATACATATATATATTTGTATTTGATGTCTCTTTTTAAACATACATATGTATGTATATTATGTATTGTTGTTAATTTTGTGTTGTCAACGTTGCGTTGCCAAGCTAACGAAAACGAAGTCAAACGATTTGGCAAGGTTATTATTTCTTGCACAAAGATATGTTTTAATATAACATACACACAACAAACATACACACACACTCACACGTACACACACACGTTTTGGCTTTTGCCTGGTCGTAAATTGATTTTTATTTTGATGAACTGATTTTCCCATTCGATGACTGCCGAAGTCTGTCGATTGTCGCTTGTTTGCGTTTTGAGCTCGCCTCGCTATCGCAATGCTCGTAAACAGACCCTAATTGCGCTCACAAATTGTAAAGTGATTTTTTTTTTTTTTAGACTTGTAGATATATTTGTGCATTTTTTGTATACACATTTAACAATACGTATATAGGTATGTGTAGGTACTCGTGATCTTTGTGTGGTCGACAATTTGTGCCCCTAGCAATGTCAAGTGCTGCTGGCGTTGCTGATTGCTCATTACCACGAATTGGCGTCGCTATTTCCGCTTCCGTCTTAGACAGCGGAATGCCCAATATAATCCAGCATGGAGCAAACTCAATGCATTCACTGTACGTAGAAATTGCGAAATGGCGTTCGAAGTGAAATGAAAAAAGTTTAGCTACAATTAAAACAAAATTGACTGACAGCCCGACGAATGGACAGCCAATGCTAAACGATCATCTTTATTAAACAGAGCTAGCTATATTCGGGCTGCCTTCAATGAAATACCCTGGACTACAGCTAGATTACAGTAGGAGTTTTGAGAATTCGAGCTTTTGGGTTAAATGCATTTTCAAATGTAATAAATAAAAACCTCAAGTTTTGAGGGGTTGCCTGTTTATAAGGTTTATTGTACAATAGTGGAAGAACGTTAAAATGGTAGAATTGTGAAAGTCAGTCGATGAGGACACTTAATTTTATATCGATAGATCATCATATTCAACAATTTAAATATATCTTTCATCATTTTAAGTGTCTTTTTTATTTATTTTATACTATGATACTAATGACAATAAGTTAATAAATAAATAATAATAAAAAAAACTCTTAGCAGAATATAAATACATGTTTTAAAGATGCCATCAAATAATAAAAAATTGTTTGCAATATGTTCAATTTACTCTCGTAAAAGCTGTCATGAACTTATTTACAACATGAACATGTGAAAAATTGTGTGCATTTTAGCTTCGAGTTGACTTTCAATAAGGTATTTCAAAATCTGTACACGTATAACTATGTATCTGTGCTACTCGGACAATGACACGCATTCTTTTGTTTTTTTTTTTTTTTAAATAAGGCTTATTAAATAGGCATTAAATATTTTTATGTTGTTAAAGTCCAATAAAAACAAGTTAATATTACCGAGGCGTTCAATTAATGACTGAAATATTTTAATTGTTTTTAAATCTTTATTCTAGCTATATGCACTGAAAGCCGCAATTTTCCTCTAAGTGTTTAAATTTAGTTTTGCACTTCAACTACTTTTGTTAAATACATTTTATTAACTTTCTGATACCTTACTATAAAGTATATAAAATGTAGAAGAAATATCAACGAATGAATCCAAATAATTTTTAATGGGTATATATAAATCGAGTATAAATTCTCATAGCTTGGAAGTGTTCGCTTCGCTCCTTATATGTCATGCCCAGGTCTGACAGTTAGCTCGGCTTAATGACCGTCCAGCCAGGCGGGGATATGCGCAGAGCTGACATCCTCAGGTTGATTATTCTGACAGTTTCGCCTAGAGAATGGTAATTAGAAACGACAAATAATTATGACACTTGAGACCCCTTTTTTCATACCTTGCATCCATTAAAAATTGCTTTAATAAAGTGGCTTAGACTAAATGAGGCATACCTGATCATATATATTTTCATTAAAAGACTTCAACTTTGGAGAGCGTATTATATTGGGATTATAGGAGCTCTCGAATAACGTACATAAAGCCATAATATACCACATATTGGATACCTCGCCCAATCCTTTAAGAGGTACATTTTTAGAGGTACAGCTTAGATTTGAAGTGCGCTTCGACAACTTGGAGTTGGGTACGAAGTATACTCTAGTCGGCCACTCTTACAAGAAAAATGTGAACTTTTTTTTTGATGATTTTTCAAGCAGCTGGTCGAATGTTTTCTCTCAGATATAAATTGAAGCACTTGTGGGCATAATGCTAAATAGAATGGCTAATGAGATGCCATTTGAGAATTTAATGACTTTGTGAGCACTCTGATCTCGTAGGGTGCGTTGCTCTAATGTAGAAAACGTGTGCGATCATTGAAATGAATTGTAAATGAGCTTAATGATTAGCATTTTTGGTGTTTCGAAATAAGTCTTTTAACAATGTCAAGAGATTCTTAAAGAAATATATCTTTTCGTTGTAAATTTGTAAATTGACTTCCTGCTCAAATTTTTTTCTATTTTTTTTTTTTTGATAATGCCGTTCACCTTGTTAAGTAGTTCAAGTATGTTTTTAATGGGTAAATCTGTCTAGATTTGAAAAGTATAATCTTGTGCATTGGACAAGTGATCGAATTGAAATATCTTCCAAAATTGTCATTTACATGGAACTATAATTATGTGTGTCTTTGAGGGGAAATTAGCATATTATGAACTAGTTAGGCAAACCAGTAAAGACATGGCCCGCTGATCAGCTAAATGTATTAAAGATATATTAGCCATTAACGGTTACCCAATGTAACAAACTGTGCATTGAACCGAGGGCCAACGGAGCCAAGGGGGCGGCAGTGTTACGCCCACACGCGACTAAGCGGAAAACAAATTATGTCCAACGTTGGAATTGGATTGAATCGAATCGTAAGATATGTGATTTTATTGAATGGCAATGCGACATCTGATTGATATATAAAGTGAACTGTACTCCTGGGCGTAGTTTTAGTACACTGACCAAATCATGATCAGCAACACAGGGCGGCCACAGGCGCTGCTGCTGCTGGGACTGTTAATCTGCGCCTACTCCTGCGGTAGCACCTGTGCCCGGCCCAGTGGAGTGAAACTGCAGTCGCAGTATCTGCGTGCTATCGGTGCCTATCGTCGGCTGGAGCGCAGTTTGCCGCGCCAGGAGTTGCGTGCTCTGACCGGCTTGGGACTGCTTAACGGTGCCCGGCAGGCTGAGGAGCAAATGGAGCAGCATCTGGTGCAGGCAATCAAGGAGTTGCTTCAGCAGTCTGCAGACATTCAGCAGCACGACGCCAGCATATTGCCCAAGATTGATGCAATTGAGCAGCAAATGACACGCGATCAGCGCTCTCTCAGCATTTTGAGTAGTGCCATGGAAGTGCTGAGCAATGACAAGAATGAGCAGCAGTTCCGGAAAGTGCTCAAGGATCTACTCAGGCAGCAACAGCAAAAACAGCTGCAGCAGCAGCAGCAGAGTCTTGATCTACAGCAATCTGAAGAGCAGCCTGAGAGTGTGACTGAACGTCTGGGACAGCTCAGACTCAGCATTATGCAGCAGGTGCCACAAATGAAAAGTCAATTGGATGCGAAAATTGAGAGAGCCCTGGATCATCTTATCAAATACGCCACTGTCGACGGACCGCTTGCCAAGGCCAGTCACAAGATGCTGCACAAGCGATCAGCCAATGAGCTAGAGCAAGATCAACAGCCACAGCCAGAGCCAGAGCCTGCAGAGAAACAAGATCCTGAGGAAATGCGCGTCATCAAATCCATATTGTCGGAGGTGAGTAAACAGTTGGTGACAACGATTCCAAAGGATTGAAGTGTTGAACTATGTCTGATCCAAGGCCAATCAATTGAATATGCAGGATGATTTCCGGGAAAATCTGGTTATAGAACAGTATGAGAAAAACGCCGGAACCAAAAGGCAAACTCAAGCAAATGACGAACTCGATGAGCTGGACAATGCTGTGAGTAGTTGACTTTAAATAATACTTATTCTAATGTGACTAACCGAATACTCAGTACGTAAGTGTGTATAAAAACCATAAACAAGTTCAAATTTTATATCAAATACTACGCAGGTGTAATTATATAATAGGCCCAGTATGAAAATATGTCTAAAACAAAAACCGGAAAGCAAATGAGCTGAGTGAATTGAAATTTGAGAATTTCATTTAACTTTTCAAAAGTGATTTTCAATAAACATATGTCAGTAAGTAAGTACAGTTTTTGGACCTTCGTAGAGGGAAGATACCTCAGAGTAGATTACATTTGACTTTATTGGCATACAGTATTTGTTTGCTTACAATTTAAATATAATAATTTAAGTGATAGAGAAGACATGTATCAAAATGCTGAAAGGTCTCGTAAGCGAGAAAGAACCATAAATTTAATTTAAAAGACAAATGATCGATTCCAATAAAAAAGAGTTGAATAATTCCACATTATCGCGCCTTTGAAGTCGCAAAATGTTACAGTTGAAACAACAACGATAACCAAAGCCAGGCAGGACGACGAAGACAAATCCACGGAGATCGGTGGCGATAACTTTGGCGATGAGGGAAACGGTGGCAATGGTGGCAATGACGGCAATGGCGGTGGTCTTGTTGGCATCATTGGAAGTTTAAGTGGCGTGAGTAACACAGAATGCGAGAAAGAGAGAGAGAGAGAGAGAGAGAAAATGAAAGCAAGAGAATAACGAATGTAATCTCCTGCAGGGCGAGGGCGGCTCGGATGTGGGTGCATTGATTGGAGCACTCACTGGTCTGATATCGACGCTTTTTGGCGTAAGTTGTTAATCGAGTGCAGTAAATTTATTTGAAAAAGTCTTTTACAAATATATAATCATTCTATTTTGTCAGCCTGGTGGCTTGGATATTGAGGCATTGATCAGCACAGGCACATCGCTGATATCGGGCCTGCTCTCTGGCAACAAGAACTTTGGCGTTGTGCTGGGTCAATATGTGGGCACAGCTTTTGATGGCCTCTCTGGCGGTGGCGGAGCGGTACGTTGAAGACCAACCAGTTATCGAATCAATTCACAAATATACCTCAATATTACCTCTTCGATTGCAGATCAACAATGGACTATTTGTGGGCAACTTTGTGGGCACCGTGTTGGCCGCATTGAGTGCAGTACTTACACTTATTATTATATTATGTTTTGACTTACTCATCCTTTTATTTCTGACTGTTGTACTAACCCTGTTTTACGCGACCAATAGCACAAGTTAAAGCTGCATTTTACTTGCATTTACAGGATCCGGAGGAGGAAGGTCTGCCACAGCCATTGACTTTTACAAAGAATTTCCTCAGCGGTTTCCTTGAGTCTAAGTTCCGGCCCGTCGAAGCATCCGAGGAGCGTCATGGGAGCGCCGGAAAAAAGAAAAAAGAATCGGCTGGCGGCGGCTTCGATTCGGGCGGATTTGTTAAGCAGATTGCCTCGCATCTGGTGAGCAGCGCCTTGGGTCTGTTACTAAATGCATCGCTGGGTGCCTCAGGCGGAGCCTCGCATGCCTCTACTGGACTGTTCTCGAGCAGCAGCCATCATATGAAGCCAGCCGTCCATTAAACGCACTCAAATCATAATTTCCTATTTTTTTTTTGGTTTTTTTTTTTGTGATTAGTTTATAAGCAATAAACAGTTAGTTTTTCAATATTTAAGCTTGGCGTTGTAAAAGATTAAGATATCCAAAAAAGGGGGAATGCGCAAACTATTCGCATCGCTCACTTGAGCGGCTAAGAAAGCGTAAAACACAGATTTCGTAATGTGGCTTGACTCACTCTTATTTGGTCTGGATTGTGTGAAAGCCGTAAAGGGTCCAAGCTAGGCACTTGGCCTGGCTGACTGAACAATGCAAGTGATGCAAGACGCCAGCCTATAGACCCCATATCTAAAGTATTCTCTCCAAAAAAAAACCAGTGTTAGGTAAAGAGTTGGTTACGCTCAAGTGAAATTCACTTCACTGTAGGAAGCAGCCGATGGAATGTTGTAATTAAAGTAAATGACGGAAAAGTCAAGTCAAAGATCAGATAGGGCGCGTGCGATTTGAAATGTACGCATTACTCAAAAACTTGAGTTGCTTAGTACAGTTTGAGACTCACTCTAGCTGAGAGTCACAATAGCAAACCAGAAGTAGTTAATTTTTCTTATTTTTTTAAAATCTGTTTTTTGGCATCAATGAACCGTAGGATTTAAGACTGTCACATCATACTCTTTTCCCGTTACGAACAGAGTATAGATAGTGAATTATTCTTGAGACTATTCAATTGAAGAACACAGATTTTATCTAATCTATCTAATGAAATTTTGTCCGCCGTGTTTTGAGATTTATTTTCAAATTTAGCACGACTCACGCCCAAAAACCTCAAAAAATCAGTTGTACGGAGTGGCTGATATTAGCTGGTCGTGACGCAATTGAATTGTTGACGTCATCGTTAACGTTTTGCATGCTTTGATTCGATTGTCGCCATTGGCTGTCACTATTTCCCCTTCGGTATTCGCAATTGCCTTACACACACACACACACACACACACACAACTACCACTTTGGTCAGCGAAGCGCATATTTTGTCACTTTCTATTCAGTGCAAGTTACATGCCAACGGCGATTGGGGGTACTATATGAACATGCTTTTTACTTAACTTTTAACTCTTACTTTTAACTTTTACATTATGGCTCTCACACATTTCTTTCTGAGTCTCGGTTTTCTGTGAGTTGTGCATTGCGCTCGAAGCTCTTTCAGTTATGCGTGAATCTTTCACAAGACCAAGTGACATTCCGGGACAGCCGGGTGGTGTTATTTATTTCGTATGTTCGTCAGTGTTGATGAACTGTGTTTTTATTTTCCTTTTGTTTTTCCTGTGTTTTGCCGTCCAAATTCTTCATAGTTAAAGGCAAATTTTAGTGTGAGCTTTTTAAAAATTATTTTTTTTTTTTAATGTGTTTTTGTGGAGCTTAAAAAGATTTACACATTTGGTGAGTTATCTGCATACCTTAAGACATATATATATATATATGCATATTCGTGAAAAACCAAAATCGAATGAGTGCAAAAGCATCCAAATCAAAATCCTCAACATACATGTGCCAAAACAAATGACTTAGGCAACGAACTTGCTAAACGGTTAGGCTTCGTTAATGGGCCAGTTTGTAGTTTAAGCAAAGTTTGCATTGGCAGCAAGCACAACAACAACAACAGCAACTACAACAACAACAATAACAGTGTATACAACAACATAAAGTCAACTGAATGACGCTTTCTTCGCATTGCAACACGAAACAAACGCTTTGAGAAATACATATGTCAAATATTAATTATACAATGTGTAGTATTAGCGATAGTGCGTGTATGCGGGCTAACGGCTCTGATTAGCATACATTTATTAATAACTCATGCAGTTGTTGAAACACCGAAATCGAAACTCATTTGGTCCAAGTCAACACCGAATGCAAACAAAGAGTCAAGACTTTCATTTGCAGACGTATATTTATATATGTATATGTATATATGTATGTACATGAGTCGAGGATTAATGCATTTAAACTTAAAATATATTTCTGTATTTTTAACTAATCTTGCAATGAGCAGATAGAACAACATATTTTGTTTTGATATGATTAATTTACAAATGAAATATGAATTTGTTCATAAATAGAAGTGTAAAAGAAAAGAAGTCTAAAAATGTTATCGCTGACATTGAAAAATTGGAATTTGGTTGATATGACTAAATAATATTAAATGATTTTTGTTAATAGTAGTAATTTCTTACCAAAAACTCTAAATTAATTACACAAATTCTTAACCATAAAGAAAGTATATTCTCAGTTATATTTATTCTACACAAAAGCGAAATTATTGCCTACTAAATTATACTATCATAATACACTTTTAATTGAATTTTTTTAAGTAACATATAAAATTCTACAATAGAAAATTATTATGCCGTTATTAAGTCAAGCTCGTCAAATTATCGTTTTTTCTTTGTGAGAATAAATTTCATTCATGAACTGCATATAACTTATAATCGTTGTTACCGCTTTTATCAACTCATCTTAGTTAGTCATCATTAGTTATTGGAGTAGACTTTTTTAATGTATTAAATATATTTGTATACAAACCTTCAAACTACCTTTCACACACATTTTTCACCCTAAAGAGATCGGTTTTAAGCAAATAAATTAATAATAAATTGTTATTTCTTATAAATTAAAAATTAATAAGACAAGTGGCACCCTACTGGCTATATAATAGGTTTTTGTTTCCGTTACCAATACTTGTTGTTAAAGAAACAAGGCAACATTAATTCATACCTATACTGTTTACCTTCTGCTAAAGTTGAGAGTCTGTTTTCTCCAATTGGGTCTGCAAAATACGTAAGCATGGGAAATTAAAAGATAATCCATTGCCTCGGACTGGTCTGCGTAATATCTGTACGCTGTGCCTGTAAATATATATATATATCTAGGATCTAGTTTCAAAAATAATTATGATCTCGAATGCGAATGTCGTGTTCAAATTATATTAAGCCGATGCAAGGCCAATGTGAAGAAGATGAGCACGATCAAAAGTCAAAGCTGGCAAAGATAGTCACAGCTTGGGCGCAGACAGATACGCATATGCATGTTAAGGCAATACGTTGCGGTTGGCCTAAAGAAACCGGTAACAGTCTCAAGGTCGTTGAGAAACTGTGCGTTTGGCTCGCTTGTCGAATCGACTTGGCTCGATTGCGATAGCTCAAATCAAGATAAACCTCAGGCCAACACAGCAGCAGAAGCCGTCGACACAATTTGAACAACAAAGACTCATGCTGAGGCGATGAGTACTCACTGACACACACTTACACACACACACACACACACACACATGTCAGTGTATCTGTATTTAAAAAGCGAAAGTAAATGCCATGAAAGTGGAGCACAAGCTGCCCGCGTTGAAGGCAAACCAGCGAGGGGGCGTTGTGTACACACACACACACACACACACACACATACACAAATACACACACACTTGCATATAAACAACTTGTCTGTCATATTGTTAAGTGTCTGCTGTGTATATGTATACTGTATATGCATCTGCATAAGTCGGTCAATAAGTTTATTGACCGTTTTAACACATTTGATGCCTTTATTTTCGTAATGAATACTCTTTATTTCTTTTCTCAAGCTGTTTTTTTCCTATGCCCGAAATTGATTATGCAAATAAATGTTTGAGTAACTGCGAATTTATTAAATTGGCAATAAAACAATGCCTTTAAGGTTTTGCTTTTCCACATACGCATTCATCCGATATTTATTGCTTATTTTTTTGATTTTCTATTATGTAAATAGATTTTATTAAAAAATAATTTAACGTTAGATTTTTATTGCCTATATCCATTATAAAAGTTAGCAATAAGCATTATGAAATCGTGACAGGCAGAAGAAGACATCCATCTACAGACAAATATTCTGTAACTGCCATGATATTTTGGGAATGTGTTTTTCACATACTCAAACAGCTGAGACAAGCATAAATGTTTTAATACATATATGTAAATAAGTATGTTAAATTAAGCAATGCTTGTGCAAAATGTGCATTTTATGTGATTACATTTTATGCAAATTTGTGTATTTAGATCGAGCTCAATTAGAGCTATACTTTGTTTTTATGATTATTATTTTTTTCGTTTTTGTCTTATTTATTGGGTCAATTAAAAATGTTTGTAAGACATTAAGCAATCTATGTACTATTTATTATATTTGTTAGCAATAACGAGTAAGCCTGTCTGTTGTCTCAAGACAACCTTCGAACAGATATTGCTTAGTGACTTACACAGAATTATCTAAGCAAGGCTAACACGAACCGCTTAACTGCAGCTTGCAACCCGAGGCAAATAGCTTATGTACACACATCCACAAACACATACATCTAAACATAAATATATATTTATATATATATATATATATAAATATTTTATAAGCTGTTTTGCTTACTTGTTGTAATTATTGGGCTTTGAACTGGCTAAATAATCACCATTGAGAATTCAGCATGCAGCAGCCACAACTAGTCAGAATTAACCTTTGCATTGAGCATAATACAACAATTAATAATCTTGAATCTAGAAGAACAAGTTCTGGGATATGTCCAAATGGTTATTGTCGGCACGCCCATATTAATTAAATTCGAAACGAAAATTGGGAGCAAGTGCATATATATATTTATGTATGTATACATATGTATCTATGTTGAAGAACTTTACCGCGGTCAAACAGCTAACTAAAATACTAAGTGCTTAATTCTAAATCGACTATAAATCTTATATTGCAACACCAGCGGCTTACGTGACTCATAAAAAAGTATTATAACCAAGTTGTGGCTATGTATGTGGCAGGAATATTCTTTAGATTCGGTATATTCGTCGTCATTTTTGTGGCTATTGGTAATCGTTGACTTACTAATTGTTTAGAGTGTGCTTGATATATTTCCATTCGAAATTAGTTGAATATATTATCATTAACGTTCTACGATGAGGCCACAATATCAAAATATCATTCGATTGCTCTTAACTCCAACTTGTTTTTCTATCAATATGTATATTATTATATTGATTTGATTTCTAATCGTGTATAATTTTCGATTAGCGTAAATATATTCAAAATTAGAGTAAACGCCGGTCTGTTTGCCTGATTTTACCTCGTTAACATTTGAATTCTTACTATTTCTATATAGTTTCCATTTTGCTGTGATTTGCCGAGGTAAGGTATTTAAAAGTATAATACCAATATTTTCGAGCACTGATCTTAATGTTTGATATTAGATATGCAGACAATTTAAATTGTGCCACAAGCACTGCCAGTCGGTGCAAGAGTAATCTGAGGTCTTGGCCGGTCATGCTGGTAAATGTAACTAACGTTCGCCCTGGGCCATTCGCTAGTTAATGGACTTGTTTTGTTTAGATAGTCATTATCCACGTGCACTGCGGGCGCCCTGATCTGTCCAAAAGTACGAGTCTTTCGCGTATCGCAATGCATTGTAAAGAACTTGAGAGCATGTGACATTAGTAAACAACTGAATAATGCATAATGACGAATCATTGTGAACGTCGACAGCATCAACAACGACAGCTGCATATTGAGCAACGCAAAATTATGGTTGTAAAAACTGACAGCCTAGCGAGTGGAGAACATGTTGCAGATACTACACATTTGAGGCGCCATCACTGGGCCCCTACAAGCGCGCATAACTGATGGCCTGATACATGCATACATACGAGTATATGTATTTTTGATGTTGCACATAGAAATATACAAATGTGACCCAGTCGACCCATCGGCCAGTTGACATTTACGCAATGGGAGAGCGCACGCATGGCGATCTATTTTAGCCAGGTCAATGAAGTTGACAAGGACGCCAAACACTGACGCTAACAGAAAAGTCGCCTCGCAATTATGCTTTATATGTTTTTTCGTGGAGCGCTGGGGGAGAGTGGGGGGCGGGGTTGTGTAGTTAATCGTTAACATAACGTTGCGCCGTTGTGGTAGTTAAAAATGTTGAGCGACGCGAAGTCGCGTCGTTGGGGTCTTGGCCATGTCAAATACAAGTATGTATGACAAGTGAGCAGATTAGTTTAATATGGCTACATATAAATAAAAAGCACAGACATTGTCGAGCCCGTGCCAGGGCCCATTTGCATGTCAGTTTACAAACTGCCTCTGGTGGTGGCCAGACACCCAGTGGCAAACATGAAACACTAAACAACAGCAACAACAGATTGGCCAACGCAACACTAACTGCCGTTGCATGCTATTATGGGCCATATAGCAATTGAGGCGCCTGAGTGACAGCAATTGAATTTTCATAGTCAATTTGCCAATGTTTTTGCACAAAGCACATTAACTAATAAATAACCCCATAAAGACATTCGGTTTTTCCTCTATGTACAGCTTTTAATTATTCAATTTAGTAGAATTAGTTAATATTGTTAATTATATTATCTTATTCTTAATTATATTATCTTTAGTTCGAGTTATCTTTATCTTTATCTGAACTTTTTAAGCTCATACAGGGTATGAAAATGTTCTTAAATATTTACACAAATGAAAATGTGCTCAAGGCAAGCTGAAGGCAGCTTGCAGATATCTTCTAGGATTTCAACTAGCTTCACGTTTCCCATTTGCAGCTTTCAACAGTTTTTAGCATGCATCCCATTGAATTTAAGTATGTCTTTAATATTCAGTGGCCTTAAAGCTGTCGTTAAGGTTGCAAAAACTGAAAGTTAATTAAGCCATGGCGAAGCAGGCCAAAAGTAAAAGGCAAACCCAGCCCAGATCCAACCATAGGATACAGCAGCCAGCACAGGTTGCACCGGCTCTGCGACACCTGACATTGAAATGCGTTCCATTGTGAATTGACCTCTGAGGGTTACTCTGTCCACCACTGGTTTAACCTAACGACCCACAAGCGATGACAGTTTTGTGTGCTGTTTTACTAAGGCTTCCTTTGCATTAAGTCTTCCAATGCGCGTTGCTGCAGTCTGTCGTCTATCTTGTTTTATGTATGCACATTCATTGGAACATATACATTTATTCATTGAATCATATATTATTTTTTTACTAAACCTATCGATAGTTGGAGACTCGATGTATCTGTTTGCAAGCTCATTAGCATGTTAAATGAAACGCTTTAAATTTATTTTTAAGTAGAGTTGTCCTACTGATAAAACCCAGCAGGGTTTAGGGTATTTTCAAGTCATACAATTTGTAATTGCTTGCTCTAATATATATACATTTATGTTGGAAAATTAGTGTTTCGAGTATTATTTGCCATTATGAATAACTCACTTAAATATTTATATTAAAGGAATATAAACAAGATGGTCGAAGCCAGCCAATGTAATGCAATTGAACAACTGAACTGACTGGTATTCTTAGAATCATTCTTTGACAGTGATTAGCTAATTAGTGATTTTGTAATTTGCCTGATAATTGCTGGCAAGTTCGAGTGCCAGTCACAAGTTACTTAATTTACCAAATTATCTAGTCAGGCCAGAGATCATCAGATTACATATTCTATCGTGTTTGGCAGGCATTATTTGCAATTTGGTTATTAAAATTTTTAAAATTTGTTGACCTGCTTTCTGTTCAGCTCACCTGACGGCAATTAACAGGCGCAATTTACTTCAGATATCATTTGTATACTCTGTGTTACTTACCTTCAATTGAGAACCGTGAAAATGTAGAAATGTTAGCAAATCATTAGAATCAGCCAAACTTATTTATAGTGACAAAGATTTGTAGAGAATATTTAGTTAATTACTTTATGAAATCAATAAAAAAAAGGAGGGGACGGATAAGTTGTATGCCAATTAATAGTATCAGCAGATTTATAACTAAAAATAAACAACTTTTCTGCGATTTCTAGCGTTTTTTTTTTGTTGTTCCAGACATGATTCTAGCTTTCGAATTATTCCAATCGAAAGTCCAAATTTTCTAAACAATACACAACAAATGTGTAATTGTATGCATAAGTTCGGATGGGGAGAAGGGCTTCTTGACTTCAATACAGACTTTACATCTATATAAAAGAGTTACGTTGAAGTAATATTTCGTAATATTTCGTAACTTTAGAATGTCCAAGATTATCTAGTCTCTTTGTTTTTGCGAAAATATACATAAGTATATTTATATATATAAGTTGATAGGTAGCAATCTAAAATGATCATATTTATATATGTATATATAAGTTGATAGGTAGCAATATAAAACGATCATTGGGCAGGCTAAGCAAAAGAATGGCATTAAATAAATTATTGCGCATACGTAATGCATGCAGTATACACAAGTACTGCTCGTGCATATGACCAACTTGTGTTTTAATTGAAAACCAAAAGTACGAATTAAAAGAGCATTGCAAAAACACAAGCACCAAATAATTACAACTACTATAAAACAACAACACGCTAAGACGTTGTTGAGAGCCTTTAAAGTTGCTGCTGCTGTTGCTGCTGCTGCTGTTGCTGCTGCTGCTGTTGCTGCTGCTGCTGTTGCTGCTGCTGTCGTAGTTATTGTTGTTGTTTGCAACTTTTGCACTTTATTGAGCGCTTTTGTTCAAATTTGCGCTCAAAACGTGTTCACAGCTTCAATGCGCTGCCAGCGTCGGCGTCAACGATCAACGGTAGCGTTAACGTCTACGTCAACGCTGACGCCGCCTTGCATACTGATATCGCTGGTGTTGCCGTTACTGTTGTTGCTGTTGCTGTTGTTCCTGTTGTTGCTGTTGTTTCTGTTGTTTCTGTTGTTGTTGCTGTTACTGCTGAGCCATTGACGCCTATAAGCGAGCGCGCGCGCGCGTAATAAAATTCAATTCGGTTTTGTCAGTCTTCCATTTTGTATACTGGTACGTACGCATACACATACACATACACATACACAGACACATACACAGACACATGCATCTATATTTCTGTATACATATGCATGCATACATACATAATTTTGCTTGTTTGTTTTTGTTTTACTTATTTTTTTTGTATTTTTTTGTTGGTTTTTTGATTGTTGGCCAAACGAGCGCCATGCGCTACGCCGACGTCGACTGCAAAAGCTCCGACGACTGCGCTTTGGCGCTTTGGCTGTGTAACCGATTTTTTGGCCACTGCTAAATCATTGAAGTAACTTTCGTCTGCAGTCATTTGCTTAAAGTTAGTGAACGTGCTAGTATCGCATATCTGCGGCAGCTGCTTTAAAAGTTTTTGCTTGTGTTGTGGTACTTACTTGCCAGTTGCTAGTTGTGTGTTGCTGCTGTTGTGTGTATATACCATTGTATACCATTTGATACAACAACAATTCAGTTTGGTGCGTGCCCGTTGAGAGTGTTGTTTTTGGGCATACCCAGTGTCCGAAGGTCGCAAACGGCATTGCGCATGCGCCGTGTGTGTTTGACACGCCTGAAAATATCAAAACTGATTTCGCTTCTCTCTTTCTTTCTTTCTTTATTTCTATTGTATTCGTTTTGCAAACTGCATTAGATCTGAGATCGAAGCAGCAGGACAACAGAAATCCGAAACCCAACCAACAAAAATGCAGTTCACAATGGGATGCATGATGGCAGTGATGCTGCTGCTGTTGGCAATCACACAACGGACGATATCGGCACCAGCGGAGTCAACACTCACGCTCCAGGACAGCAGCGAGCCAGCCGAGTTGAACCCCATCAATGCAGAGGTAATGTAACCAAGTAGCCAACAACGAATCAACGAATCAACGAATCAACAATCAACAACCAACGATCAGCAAGCCAACAAACCAACAAGCAGCAGTCACAGCGCTTAGCAAATTGTAGTAGTAACAGTAACTAGGAAGCAAATTGCATCCAACTCAGACTCAGGGACTGACAACGCGCCCATTGTGTCATGAGAGGCACAAACTTGTTGTAAGCTCCTTTGCCCCGCCAGCTGCAGCTGCTGCTGTTGTTGGTGTTGTTATTGTTGTTATTGTTGTTGCTGTTGTTGCTGTTGTTGCAGTTGCTACTGAGGCGTAAAAGTCACTTGCCAACTGCCTGGCAGCACCTTTATTGCGTTTTTTGTTTTTTTTTTTTGTTGTTGTATTTTGTTAACGTTGTTGCTGGTGTTTTTACTGTTGTTGTTGTGTAAGCTGAAGTTGAGCACTTGCTAATTTTGTGGTCGACTGACGTTGCTGCTGCAGTTTTTTCCGCAATTCCGTACAGTATTATTGACCCAATCGAATTGAATCCGTCTCGATCCGTTTCAATCTGATCCACGCAGAGTTGCATACGAATGCATAATCCAATTACCAATCCATCCAACGTTTCAACAGTGTTTGTGACCTTGGGGGCGAAATCAAACGCTTAGCCAAGTGACGCACATCCACATCCACACACACACACATATGTGTGGATGTTTATATGGTAAAACTTATTACGGACCTACGCTAACATTTCAAAATCGAATAGCAGGCGACGAGCAGCGGGCGTGGATAACGAACCAAGTTGTGATGGCATTGCGACGGGTTGCGAGTGAGTTGATGACGCCACAAATCGGAGAAGCGCCCATCAGGGTATTTTCATTTCTTTTGTTGCTTATCTGCTTTTGCTTTTTATCTGTGAAATAGCCTGGCATTTAAATTGTGATATGTGTAACGCATTGAAGGAGACGTCTCCGATCCCATAAAAAGTATATATAAATTAGTTGCTCATTTCATAATATTTCTCACGTTTTCGCATGCAAAAATGAAAAACAAAAACAAAATAATCAAAAACGGTCCGATGGCATCAATCGCTTGGGTTTTTTAAATGAAATATTCAAATTTGTATGGGACTATGGGGCACTCCGCTAGGGTAGAGTATGCAATCTTCGATGTGCCTCAGATAGCTGTTCTTTCATGTTTTCGTTTATAACTAATTTGCAGCACTGTGTGAACTGTTGTTTTGGTGTCTAGCAAAATTATTGCTGTCTACCTAATGGAATGTTATCTAATCCGAAAATCAATCTAACAGCTGTTTGTAACTTGATTGGCAACTATGGCATTTTTTTCACTTTCTATTTGTCATTGATGTGCTATTGTTTTTTTTGAAATATAAATTAAGTGCTAAGAGAATTGAATGCAAGGAAATTTTCAGCATAAATATATATATGAAATATATATTACATGCAATATTGCATTCATAAAATGAGTTAGGTCAAATTGAGCGAATGCAAAGAAGAGATTTTCCAAATATTGATTTATTTAAGTTAAATAGTAAATCGATTAAGCTTGACAGTCGAAGGAAATCATCATAAAAAGGTCGTTTAATAACCGGAGGCACTGTAAATTAACCATACGGCAGCAACAACAACAAAAATAAGCAACTACAATAGGACAGAGCGCTTTGCAAATGCGTTTTGTTTAGAAATTAGTAAATTTGAGTCGCGACTGGGGCCACATTCGAGAAATGCATACATATCGAGTGTTTTGGTTTTGTTGGCAATGACGATGTGAATTTTAAACATGGACAAGCAAAAGTATCTCGAATGCCGAATTGTCGCCTTGTTGGCTCAAGTATCTGTGTCTTTTAGAATAGACATAAGTAGTTTTGTGTGTGCGCGTGTGTGCATGTATTTATTTATAATCACATTTATGTATTTCGATTGGTTTTCTTGCAACGACTGACTCGAAATTGGGTCAAGTCTAACCAGCCTCGAATTTCAACCTTCAAGTCATTTTATTTACACCAATCGTACACTCGGAAAAAAACGATCCCCAAAATATATAGTTTGTGCCTGTCAAAACAAAAAGGTTTTCATTTCTAAATTGCATTAGATTTTTTTTACAAAATATATATTACATTTTTAAGTCCATTATATTTTGTTCTCTTTTTCTACCTATTTATTAGTTATTAGAAATCTATTTCCTTTTTTAATTAAATGTTTCTCGCTGTCGTCACGTCAAGGGGTTTTCTTTAAAATTTTATATTTTCAAAATAGATTGGAGTATATAAAAAATAAGAAAACACAATATATATCTTAAGAATATCAAGAATTTCTAAAATGGTTTTCAATTTGTATTCATTTGCTTAGTCCATTCAGAAATGATGTCTACAACTAGGATATTTTTTCTAAGTGGACATACAAGCACATGTACATAAATTTGTATTCTTATTATTACCGTCAACACATTAAGCTTAAAGGCAATTTGGTCAGACCAAGAATTGTGCGCAATTGATTGCCACTCATTAAGACAGCCTGCCACAACGTGAGCTGCATCAGAAACTGATGCTGCTGCTGCTGTTGAAGCTGCTGCAATTAGGTGACAGCAGCAATTGTATCGCCAGCAATTTGGCAAGTCACGCGATTCCAATGTCACCATGCCAATCTCTTTTGTGTTCTCTTTTCTCTCGTTATTCCTATTCTAGGAGGTGTTTGGCGCTGAGCTTGAGCGCAACAAAAGAAAACTGCCCGAAGCGACATTTGAGGCGAAAAATGCCGTACTCGGATTTGTCTTTGGCGTAAGTATTTCGAATCAATTCAGCAAACCACTCAATTGATTAACGACCGCACCAAAATATGCACATCTGTATGCATGTCCCATTGCAGAAGATCGACAACTTTCTGGATACGAAGACACGCGTGATTGAGCAGCTGGATCGCTCCAATATTGAGAAGAATAAGCAGTGGGACATTAAGAACCCTGTGCCCATTAAGGACTTCCAGACCCTAATCACTGCCGTCGTCTCACCGAAGATCCGCTCGATTGGCAACATTGCCAATGACCTGACAACTGGCGTTTTGACCACCATAACCGCCTTCAGTGGCTCCTCGTCGGGCAATGGAAATCCGAATGCTGGCCTTGGCAATGTCGTGTCCAAGTTCTTGGGCTTCTCGGGACCCATATTGCAGGGCTCGTCCGGTGGTGCAAATGGCATTGCGGGCGCCACAAGCCCTGCCCCCGATTCCGATGAGGCGGGCTATTAAATCGACTCGATGACTGACTAATTGGCCAACTGGGCCGATTGTTTAGGCCTGGACCTAAATCGTTCGTTGGTCTGTTCATAAAATGTGGTCTTATAATTTATGTACATCACACACAAACACACACACACACACAAACACACACACACACACACACATACACACACACACACATACACACACACACACACAAGCACACACACACGCACACACATGAAACACACACTCTTGAGAGAGGAGTGAACTTTCCTATGTTACCCTCTGATGCTCGCACGCTTTCATTGACATTTCAATTCTGTATGATTTTTTTTTTTTTGTTTGTTGTTGTAGCTTAGACTTAAGTTACAATTCTGTTAAACACTTTCAGTTGGCTTGTCGTCAGGGTAATAGATAAGTTAAATTTTATGCTACCCATTGTATTCATGTTTGTAAATATTGGCGCATATATGTACTATGTAACTTACGGCTAAATAACCATTAATAAAACAAATGAATTTTTACAAATGTATCTACAAAACATTAAAAACAAAAAAACAAAAAAAAAAAAAAAAAAAAAAAGAAACGAAACCGAAACCAAAACCCGATTTTTCAATGCGACTCTGCGATCTGTGTTGACCTTGGGCTTGTGTTCCTCATGTTGAATATATATGTATATATATATATATATATATATATATTATAGATATGTACCTATGTGTAGTATAGACAGAATGCTACCTATGATAAGTCAGCTTACTCACAATCCTCTACTCTTTCTTTTTCATTACGTTCATATGTATGTCTGTCTCTGCCCCTTACTCGATCAGACCAAGCGACGGGCACGCGCCGGGGGTAAAGATCCGAGCGACGCCGTTGAACTGGATCGCAAAAACGTTTCGTTCGAGCTGCCCGACGAATTGTTCTCCAAATCATTCAGCACGATCACCCAAACCTCCCAAGCTCTTTCCCGCCTTATAATGGTAAGTGATATTCAAGAAACATTCAGATTTCCAATACAAAATAATAAAACTGTGGTGAATCTTAATTAGCGAGCTTCTCAAACTTTAAAGCTCGAACGAAAGCTTTTCACAAGAAATCGATAGAAGTTTAACAGAGCAGTTTTATAAAATTACTTATATATGTACAAATATTAATGCTTTAGTGCTTTCTTTTTCCTGTTTCCTGCCAAGAACTCCGCACGTCGTTACTCCCGCTTTATTCTATTCTTCAAGCCAATGTTTGGCGACGCTTTGGTAGTCAAGGGCTATGAGGATCCCACAACCACAACCACAACTACCCGTCGTCCCACGAAATCAGCCAACGATGGAGGAGACAGACTAAATGAAGTTTAGAATGGATAATACAATTTAAAATTATACCCATACACAAATATGATTGAAAAGTATTGTACCGATAATTAATAGCCAGGAGTACTAATTACACTCTCTTATTGTTCAATATCAGCAGACAAAACGATTTAGTCGTGTCTTCAAAGATTTTGCAATGTATGCTTTAAATATTTGTATCTGACTTTCCTATTAAATATCCTATTAATTTTTAAAATCAAAAGTCAGAATTAACATTCATTTAGCTTTAAATAAAAGCGCGTAATTGGAATGTAATTACTTAATTACTATTTCGAAATGAGTAATGCTTAGGGCTGGGTAATGCATTTATACCTTAGTATCTCTAATTTTGGTTTGTGATTTGTGATTTATTTATCATTAGGTTATGGGATTTTTGTTGTAATTTTGTATTAAAAAATATTTGTATTTATATTTGTATTTATGTTGCGTGTATGCATATACTTAATGGGGAATGTCGTTATCTGGCGCTGGTGCGTGGACGTACTAGGAAGCGCATTAGTTTCATAGATCCCTTGGGGCCACTGAAGAAACCTTTCCACAGGATGCCCTTAAAACCATCCACATCGCGTTCCAGTAGGCGCTGATACATTCCAAACGGATTACTGCCAATTGAATGGTGTATACAATGGGAATGGAGCATTATACAAAATGTGAATGTCCTCACCTGAGAGTGCAGACGCTGCCATACCAGAAGGCTGCCGATTGGGCTGCAGCGCAGTTGTCATCGCTCTCGTCGTTGTCCTTGTCTTGAGTGCTGAACTTCTTGCCCACATGCTCACGCAGTGCATCGGTAGCGTCGCCCTGATATTTACCCAGTACATTGAGACGATACTGCTCGGACTCACTGCCAATGCCAAAGCGATCATAGAGCGCATATCGCCGGTCCTGGTTGCGATTCTCCATCTCAACGAGCAGCTCGCAAACTTCATTCGTGCAGATTTGGTATAGCCTCTCCAGGCCAATAAAGAACTCATTTGTTAACGGGCCAAAGCCGATCTTATAGTCGGCCCACTTACGATTGAAGTCTTCGCTACCATCAACGCGATGCGCGACCACAATCCAGCCTCCACCATGTGTCTTCTGGTCACAGACCACAAAGAACGAGTCCGTGTTGGCGCGCAGACGAATCAGCACTACGCCGTGCTGTTGCTTGTGGCAGTTGTGCTCAGTTCTCGATTCGACCGAATTGCCATCATCAGCCCCTTCAATTTTGCCGACAGATGGGAATACACCACTGCAATGAAGTGTTTGGACTGTTGCTTTATTCGAGCTGACTCAAGGGGAGATTGATTACCTACATGCGCGTCCCGATGCTGAATGGTTCTCTGGGGCTGATCGGGGCACCCGCTCGTCGCAGATCTACCAGCTGCTCCTGCAGGTTGCCAATTTGATCTCTCGCACTGGCAATATCTTTCGAAAGCGCCTGGATGCGTGTGGTTATAGTGCTTAGTGCTGATAAAGGACACGTGCCAGCTGTCTGTGTATGAAAATTATATTATTATTATGTATATATATATATATATGGATGTATATAGATGTAGATATCATGTGAAGAAGTAGCTCCGCAAAGATGAACGCTTTGAAGGGTACCACAAGAGATGTGTATATACATCTATTCGTGATTAGTATCGTATATTTCACGGAAAGAAAAATCATAATATTTATTATGCAAGTATGTTGTAATGTTATTAATCGTACATTGGTTAAGGGTTAGATGTCAAGGACTTCTTTTTAATTGCACGTTATCTTGTATTATTATAAATATATTTTTATAGCTGACTAGAATCAATGTTTATTTAGTCTTGAAATCAATGTACAAATGGCAAATTAGTTGAAATCGAAGTTACGAAAACAAAAAGAAGAATATATATATATATATATGTATATATATGTATCTCTATATATATGCATATATGTGTATAGCTCTGACGTGTTTGTCTGTGGTTAGTCCGATTACATATGTACATAGAACGAAACCAGATTAACGTCTTTTTATAAGTATCTAAAATTATCTATGCAAGTACAATTTTCAGTATATGAAGATTGTGACCGCAAGTGGGTTATTATTATTATTATTATTATTATTAAACAAAGCGAGTTGCATTTACACATTCAGCTCGTGTTTTTTTTTTTAAATTTATTTTGGAATTTTTTTCTCAATAGAATCGAATGATTTTGCTTTGGCAATGACTCACCATATTGTCCATTGGCAGCATCTGTTCGCCCAGATCGTTGTGCGTTGTGGTTAGGCAAGCCAACATTGTGACCAGAGTGTCCAACTGCAGAATTTGCGACATAGCGTGACTGTTCGCATATACGGCTGTACTGAGCCTGGCTCTTGATTCCCGCTAATGCGGCTCAATACCACTTGTTTTCACAGTGAACACAAAACAGATCAGCAAAAAAGGTCGTCAAATAGCTTACAATTCAGCTAAATAGATTCCGATGCATTTCAAAACAAGTATTCTAAGTCGATTCGAAGTCGTGTTACCGACACACCGATACTTGTGCATCTGAGTATATATACTATAGTTGTTGTTGCAAACTCGCCTACGAAATAGTTGCTAGTTAGCCAGTGTCTGAGGGTCAATTGCGCCGCAGTCGCATACTCGAGCTGTAAGCGTAAACACAGCAAACACCCGAGCACCCACAAACTGTATACAATTACCCGAGTACGCACTGTAATCTGAATTGGTCGCACAGACTGTTGGCTGTGTTATTCTGACAGCTGACAACTGATAACTGACATCATGACTCTGGAAACGCTGGTAACGGCATTGGCCTGCCTGAGCACGACGACAACGCTGCCAGAAAAGCCCATTCCCATTATTGTGAAGAACTCAGTGGAGCCGCTTCGCGTGGACAATGTGAGTATTTCCCTGTGTGATAATTCCAAAGAACGCAATCTAATCAACTCAATGCCTTTCAGAGCACTGGCGGCTGTCCGGCGGCTGCGCTGGGCGGCCTACTGGCGCGGTAAATGGCATTTAAGGATGCAATTAGTTTATGCGAGCTATGCTTATTGTTCAACTGTTTCTTTTATTCCAGTGTCCAGCACATGACCGACGAGGTGCGGTCACTTCGAGAGGATCTCAATGAGCTGCAGCAGCTCATCGATGAGTATAAGAGCCAAGCGCCAGCCAGAGTACAAATTGAGCCGTCCATGTAAGTCTTAGTTTCACATTTCACAATGTATCGACGTTGCAACTAAAGATCAGTAGATACATCGACTGGGTCGAGAACATACTGAACTTATAACAAAGCCTTGCATATTCTATTGCCCAGAACAGAATATATGCCGTGGATTTCAATCACCGATATCTCAATAATTCACTGAGTCACTTTAAATATATGTAAGACACAATATTTCTCTAACATTTTAGCCTTGCCCCTCGGCAATTAGATGTGAGCGACACACCTCGCAGCTGTATCGATCAGAAGCACGGCCTGGTGCTCATCCAAATTGCACCAGATGTGGAGCCCTTTTATGTGAACTGCGACCAGAATTTTAGAGACGGTGGCTGGTTAGTAATCGCGAATCGCTTCGACGGCAGCGAGGACTTTAATCGCGAGTGGCTTGCGTACAAGACCGGCTTTGGTGCGCTCAATTCGGAGTTCTTCATCGGGCTGGACAAACTGCATCGCCTCACGAACAGCATGGATCACGAGCTGCTAATTATAATGCGCAGCAAGACGAAGGAGGAGCGCTTCGCTATTTATGATCAGTTCAGCATTGGCAGCGAGGCCGAGAAGTATTACCTCTATGTGCTTGGCACCTACAGGGGCGATTCTGGCGACTCGCTGCGTTACCATTCCGGCAAGAAGTTCACCACCTACGACCAGGACAACGATGACAATGCCCAAAACTGTGCACGCTCTCATACTGGCGGCTGGTGGTATGGACGCGAATGCTTGGAGAGGTAAGCAAAACACTCAGCTGCAAGTTAGTTTCTAAATTAAACAATCAGTTTATATAATTCAGCTTATACTCAGCTAAATACTTCTATTAGTATTAATGGCTATCATTTATGTATATACTCTATATATACTCTAGACTCTATATATGCACGCACATTTTCTGTTTGTCTTTGCAGCAATCTCTTTGGCACATTTCAACCCACTCATGGCCAGGAGATTGGTTATTTTAAGGGCATACTGTGGAAAACTTTTGTACCCGGTCCGACCGGCTCTCTGAGATATGTTCGCATGTTAATTCGACCTTACAAAAAGACGCAATGATGACCTTGGGATACGTTTTAAATGCGCTCAGCGTACAAGACTCCTAATTAGACTCGAACTAACCTAACCTCCTCACCTAGTAGACACTATTTAGAACAACATTATTATTGCGTTATTATTATGTATGAATACAACATCGTATTTGTATTCGCATTAAATTATTATTTTAATTATAAGGCATTGAGCTTAAAAACCAAACATTTTTTTGTACAGTTTGTTCACAAATCGTTTTCTTGCCGTACAATATTATATTTTTGTACAAAATGCAGGCCATAATTGTATTGATATTGCAACAAATGAATTGAATTTAATTTCCTATTGCTAAAACGCAATGATTTATTAGAAAATTATGTATTCGGCTTTACAGGATACATTTTGAAATATTCCCAGAAATGTAATTTTCTAATCATATTTACTTATTCACTTAAATATCATAATAAAATTATCAATTAATTATGAATAATCTGTTACAAAAAGTTAAGATGAGTACGATATATACAGTATCTTAGTGACTATCTTTGAGATACTAAGCTGGTCAGCAAGAAAGTTGTTTCCACCACTTTCCATATGCTCATACACTGAATAGCAGTGTATTCATTTAATTTTTGTTTGCTTTTTGTAAATGCCAACCATGTGGAAGGAATTCTTATTTGTTTGTGGTATTGACTATGATACAGTTTTATTAATAGCTTTTTTATGATAATCTTAGTGCAATGCTTGGCTGAGTACTGGGAAGGCGTTGAAAAACGGGTTTTAGTCAAGTAATTACAGTTTTCGCTTTAAATGATATTCAATTGATTGGCATATAATCGTAACACAATAGAAACTAAAACAGCAACGAGAATCGAGTCAAACTGGGAAAACAGCATCGCTCATTTCATGGGAATTATCACGAGTTATTCATTTTGTTCATTTGAACACAAAAACTAAGCCATCTGTTTTCATTTGACGAGCACATTGTGGTTTGTGCTTTGTGCTGTGTACGAGTATGGATTCAAATATTATTAGATGCTATTGCTTGATATATTTATATATATGTATATATGTATATATATGTGATGTGTGTATGTAATATAATTTTAAATTATTCTTTAATTTACGAATTTTAATTACGAAGTTACGGCGAATGGTATTTGCAATAGACTATCAATAAATAATACATATATATGTATATGAACTGACGATCCTTAACAGGAGGGAAATTTAGAACTGTCAGCTGGGATCAAGAAACGCACTATGTACCAATTCAAACAGTATACGTTTACAGGGTATGCGAGCATTCGTATAGTCTCTGCGACACTTCTGTTCATACAGACAGAGTATTAACATCAAAATAGGCTGCATGCAACTTGATGCATATGCATATTATTGATCAACTGCGTATACATATATATGTATGTATGTATGAATATTCATGTGCGCAAAACTTTGAAACGGAAATGTTGCAATACAACTAGAATATATTTTACAACTGGGTTCAGGGTAAATCGTAGTCGAGCTCACTCGACTACATCACTCTTACTTGTTTTTGTTGCATATATTAACACGTATTTTATGTTCTGTTTTATAAGAATGCGTATAGATACAGCTTTGCGAACAATTTTGAAAAAATGAAAATATTTAATTACTATAGATTTTTTACATGCTGAATTTTCCGTAGAGCATAATTTTTAAAGTTAAGGATAAATTGACAAAATGCACAATATATACCCTCTTATGCAGTGTACAGTGTACAAAGAATGTCTGACACAAAAACTTTAAGACTCTCACCGCAATAGTTTGGGTGGTTGATAGTAAATAAATTTGTGGCACTTGCATTTCGCTGCTTGAACTTTTTGACAAAGTCAAAATGTATTAAACAAAGCTCACGAAGGACTGACAATGATTCCTGCTGGGGCATGCGAGCTTGCGGGTTGCTCGGTCTGCTTCGTTCTTCTTCTTTTTCTTTTAAAAAAATTTCATAAAACTTTTGCTCGTTTGCCGCTAATAAATTATTTTTCAGAAAGTTTGCGCCGAAGGCGATACAGCAATGCGATGGCGGTCACTAAGCTGCCCACAGAAGGGGCCAAGCCTCCAGCCCCCCCAACTCCGATTGCCAACTTGAACTCCAGCTCCAACTATGACATGGATTCCAATTTTGACTACAACGTACAACGGCTCCAAGTTGTAGTACATTGTCCATACAATAACAGCACGACTATTACAACGCTCGTTTGCGCCTCTTTCATGTCCTTGGTGTTGGTGCTGGTGTTGGTGTTGGTGTTGCTGTTGCTTCTGTATATGTTTGTTTGTTATTCCTGTGTGTTCGCTTTGTTCATAAATAATTTGCGCCACAACTCAATTTCATGAGCGTAAATCACTGTGTGGTCACTTGGTGCTTGGTACTCTCTATTGGATTGGGTTCCGGCTATTCCTACTGCCTTGGCTGCCTTGGCTCTGGTTTAGTGTCCTTCGTCTGCTACTTCTCCTTCCACAATTGCCGGCTGTCAATGCTGTTTATTGTTTCACTTCTTCTTTTCAAATATTTTTCAACTTTTCCTGTTTTTCGGTTCGTTGTTAGTGGCCATTTACCATACAATTCTTTATTTATGTGTGCCGGCCAGGCAAAAAGCTATAAGCTGCAAGCGCTCAGCTTCTTTGTGTGCCGCAAAAGTTTTTTTTTTTTTTTTTTTGTGCCAAGCGCCTCGGGGGAGTCCAACTGAATCAAGCGAACAAACCGGAGGAGGCCCAATGATAGTCCTGGGTTCGCTTTGTGACTCTGTTGTTGTTTGGCACGCGAGTGTTAAATCAACAGAAAGTTTCGCCAACTTTTCAATTGGCTTGACAAATATAAAGAAATTTACAACGTCCCATCGAAAATGGGTCGGGAAACGATGGAAAGGCAAGGCAGATATTTATAAATATATATACACATATATATATATACATATTTATACAAGAGCAAAGGACATGAATCGAAATCAAACTTGTTATAATAAGTATGTATGTATGTAAACTATACACACATTTATTTGAGTCATGAATCAAATGTCCCTGCGTAAAACAGTACATTTTTTGAATGGATTAATATGTCCCGAGTTCATTATTCTTGATTTCTTCTAAATTGAGATTTTATAATTGTATACCTGTGGGAGCACGTACATGCCGGGGAGAGAGATACATATATAAATACATTTTGTCTTTCATTGCCTTTTCATTAAAAGATCTGAGAACATTTTTGTTTTTGGTAATGGATAAGCAAACAGTTAACTTAAATTTGCCCAACTGAGGCAGAAAGTATGTTGTCTAACCGCATGCAACACAATGCAGAGCTCAACACATGAGTGTAAGAAGCATGTAGATTTAATGAAGCGCTACACATTCCACTCATGAAAATGCAATAAAAACTACATTACACTAAATTCTCATATTTTGTGGGCGAGCGCGGGTTAAGCGGAGAGCAGCGTTTGGAAAGGCCAGTTCTTTGTCCTTTGTTGTTTGTTGTTGTCTGCATACTCTGGAACCATTAACAAACAAACAACAAAAAATCCATTATCCAGTTTGCAAATGTATGTAACACTTTGAAGAAGGCATCTGCAACATGAAAGATACACATTTTGTATCAAGACAAACAGCTGACTCGATCTAGACAAGACAGGGATATTATTAAATGAGAGTAATACTATTCGATTATTCGATAACTCCTTTTGTTTATGGGCGAGAATATTGAATTTATATTTCAGGAAGCAATTGCATCCTGGAAGTGCAGTCGTCAACCTAAATCGAATAGAGTAACTTTGGGTCGGACACTCTCGACTTCAACATTCTTGTGCTTCGTATTTTTCGTCTTATTTATTTATTTTATTTTTGTTTTTTTTTTGGGGGGGGGGGGGGGGGTTTGGTAAGAATTGTTAGGGGAAGAGTTTTGGCCAGGCTCGGGCTTCGGACGGGCAACAATAAATTGCAATTCCAAGTCACTTAAATTGCAACAAATAACGGGAGGCAAGCTGACAGCCAAACGATTCCGATGCTGACACAGACGCAGACTGAGCAGCCGTGAAATGTCAACGTGTGGCAGCAGGCGGCGCCAGGAGCCCGCTGCCTCCCTGTCCATGTCTCTGTCCTCTACCCTGCTCCTGTTCTGCTCCTTATTCTTGCTTTTCGTTCGTTGTAATTTTTAGCGCAAATTTGCTTTTGCCATTTTGGTCATTGACTTTATGTGTGTGCATGTGTGTGCACGTGTGTACATGTGTGTGTGTGTGTGTGTGTATGTGTGTTTGAGAGTGTTTTTGTTCGGCCCTTGACTGTCAAGCTGATGCAAGATTGTATTTGTTGTTGTTTTTGCAGCTGGCAGACAAATCTTGGCAAGCCGACTTGACCGAGACGAGTTTTTATGAAATTCCTCTCTGATTTATTTACACCAAGAATTACAGATACTATACGTGTAAGTCCTTATTGTCCCGCTAAAGTGCATAAGGTATTGCATTCACTTTATATATTTATACATATATATATATGTATATACACATTTGTTTACATGTACTTCACTCTGCAGCAAATTGACTCTTACTGATATGGTCTCTTGTCGCTTCTTCATTCGGAATGAATAAAATATTTTACAACAATTATTGGCAATGATTTCTGAGCATGAAAACTGCATTACTTACAGCCATACAAGAGGGCACCATTAAAAAATAATGATACATATAAAATATATACCCGATATATTTATTCCGTCTGACAGACGTTATTTTTCTAAAAAAAAAAGCCAGTCATATAATTTTCGATTTATGTAAAGTTCTTCTTTGACCACATGGTTTTTTTTTAAGAGTTTGCTAGATTTGGAATTAAAAAAAAAGACTAATTTCTTAAAGATCGAGTTTCCGTGTTAATAAAAAAAGTCAATAACAATTAAGTTTTGATTAAATTAAATGAAACCATTGTCACATGCGGCACAGGTTTTCAATTGGAGAGAAAAAGACATTCAAGCCATCCAAGCGAATGGTCTTGATTAAAATGAAATGCTATCCAATTTAGTTAGCTAGCCAATCCAACCGAAGTGGGTTCATGGATCCGTGCTGGCTCCATGGCTCCATGGCTCCATGGCTCCATGGCTCCATAACAAGTCAGCCACCAGAAATGAATTGTATACACGAAGACATACAGGCATGCACACATCTATAACGTATACCGGTCACAGAGCATAATAATCAATGGCTAAACAGTCGAGAGTCAGACGGCAGTGTTCAGATCGGCTCTGAGAGTCAATTCCATAAAAGCCACAAAAACTAACGGCCAAGATAGGAAAAAAATGTTACTTTATGCGTATGGCGTACAAAAAACCAATAACAAAAATATAAAAAAAAAAAAAAAACAAAAACCCAACAACAACAAGAACAACAACAACGAATGGGCGAGGTTGCAGCTGACTCTTTATTTGTTGTTGTTGTTGTTGTTTTTGTTTTTCGCTTGCTAT